TGTCCTGCTGAATTCAGCTTGGGCCTGGGGCTTAGATCCTGATTAGTAGTCTACCTTAAAACCTTTGATTTTAATGAAAATGCCTATGGCATGAGTCTCTTCTCTTCATAACAAGTGATCCTTGTGCACATGGCTGAAGTCTGCTTGGCACAGCTATGTAGGTCAGGGGTGTCAGCCCCACTCCTCCCAGTTCTGCTGACTATCAAGGCCAGCAAAAGGCATGGTGTAGATGCTGTAATACGAGTGATAGTTCAGAGAAAGTCCCTTATCTCCACATCCAAAAGAAATCTTCTGCTTGCATTTGCAGGGTTTGCTGAGTTAGGTCTCTCAATCCATCTGCTGGTGAATGTTTTTCAATGTAGCCAATGTAGCCCAAATTCAAACAGAAAAATAAAGGAGATTTAAATTTCCCAAGCATACCGATTCTCTGTAAGTGAAGCACCCTCATCACACACCCTGCAGCATGTTGCTCTTTCCAGATGCGGGATTTTGTTGGCAAGTTGTGGCACAGTTTGTGGCAGCACTTGCCAGCTGAGCTGTGCTTTCACTACTGCTCACCACAGTCCATAAATAAGCATGCTGTTACAGGCTGTCTGCATGGAGCTGTATGAGGCTGTAACATTTTACTGGGAACCACAGCAAAGAAGTCAGCATGTGCTTCAGTTGTGTTAGCTGTGCATCAGCTGTGACCATCAAGCTATGGGTTTCCGTTGACAAATAATGACAACCTCATTCCTTAAGGTTATCACTGAGCGGCTGTTTCATTACCAAGGGGTTGGTGAGGAAGTTACTCTTATTCAAATAAGAAGAAAGCTAAGCATGGATAAAAAAGGGCTGTTTTTAATGCCACATACAAATAATCTGGTACACCGCAAGTGGAAGACTGACCTCCAGCTGGACTGCATGTCACTGAGCACAACCCTTTGAGCCTAGAGGTTCACTCAGTTTTCAGTCTACTTCATTGTCATTTTATCTAGACTGCACTTCATCCATTTGCTGCTGTATGGGAGTCTGTCAAAAGCCTTGCTAAAGTCAAAATAAACAACATTCATTGCTCACCCCTCATCCACCAAATAAGTAATTTCATCATAGAAGGCAATTATATTAGCTGAGCATTATTTTGTCTTCATAAATTCATGCCAACTACTTCCAGCCACCTTCTTGTCCTTCATAGGTTTGGAAATGTTTTCCAGGATTATTTGCTCCATCGCTTTTCTGACTGGCCTGTCATTCCTCCCCATCCTCCTTTTGCTCTTCTTGAAGAGGGGAGTGCTATTTGCTTTCTACAGCCCTCAGGAACTGAACACCATGATCTTTCACAGCTAATCTAGAATGGTGTCACAGTGGCATTGGCCAGCTCCCCCAGCACCTGAGTGCATCCCACCAGATCCCATCAACCTGCATATGAACATTTTAAATATTTATGAACATATGAACAGTTTAAATATTCCCTGAGTCAATTCTGCTCTGCTGAGGGTAAGTCTTCATTGTTCCTGACTTTCCACTGGTCTCAGAGGCCTGGGATTCCTGAAGGCAAGTCTTTCCAGGGAAGACCAAGGTGAAGATGCCAATGAGCACCTTGGCCTCTTCTGTGTGTTTGTCACTAGACCCCATTTGTGAACTCATTTCTATTACGAAATACAACATCATTTACAATTACAGTAACAGCATGAAGATCACAAGGATAAAAATAACTCTTAGGTAATCATAGGCTGAAGTCAGATAGGCATTTCTTCTTGAAACGTGGTATTATGATCACTCCTCCCTCTTCTAAAACACCACGTTTAGGAAACGGTCAGAAGACCTAAGAAGTGACACCTGCATTGTCTTCAGAGTTCATTGTTCCATCTGTTCTTAGGCATAAATGTAAAACAACCCAGTAGAGAAAAGAGCAGCTCTGAAGGAAAGTAATTGGGATAATTTACATATGCTAATCTCTGAAATCAGTAGTAGCTCATTTGTACTTCCAGTATAAATACCGGAACTGCATACAACCTGGCTGAACAGCCTTATCTTCCAAGCACAAAGCTAACATGGGATCACTGCAGATATAAAGAGGAATAGCAAAGACACATAAAGAGGTGACATTCATTTCTTCCTGCGAACTTAGTATGATTACTGATCATGTCCCTTCTGGTGACTAGACTTCAGAAAGGACACTGAAAAAGACAGAGATGGTTCAGCAAAAAAAAACATAGTTTTAATTGCAGAAAATATATCTTCAAATAAGAAAGTGGTGCATTTCAAACTTTGTAAATTTCCAAGATCAGAGCTGAACTAAGAGGCCAGACTAGTCTGTTGGTATGTGCACATGGGGAAAATACTGCATATTAGCAGATACTGTAATCTACAAAAAATAGCATGGCAAGTTCTGTGAGGGGAAATTGAAATGAAAATACCTGAAATGAGACATAGCATCAGGCATGGATTTTCTGGGGTTTACAAGTATCACTGCTACTGCTGATTCCAACTCCTACTCCCCACAACAGTGCTGATCTTCTGCATGCCTAGTGGCTTCTTTCTCACTTCTCAGCATCCCATGCCTGCCATGGGGAGTGAAGAGAAGATACGGTGGCAGGCAGTGACACAGAAACCATTTGTGTTTTCTCCATTTTCAGTGCTCTGCTACAGGTGTGCCACTTTCACAGGCCCCATTCTCATCATTAAAAAAATGAAGTCCCAGGGAACTACAGGCCAGTCAGTCTCACTTCTGTGCCTGGCAAGATCATGGAGCAGATCCTTCTGGAACCTATGCTAAGGCACATGGAAAATAACGAGGTGATTGGTGACAGACAACAAGGCTTCACTGAGGGCTGATCATGCTTGACAAATCTGGTGGCCCTATGCAATGGGGTTATAGCATTAGTCAATAAGGGAAGAGCAACTGACTTCATCTACCTGAACTTGCACAAAGCATTTGGCATTTGTTCTGCAAAATATCCTTGTCTCTAGATTGGAGAGATGTAGATTTGATGGATGGACCACTCTGTGCATAAGGAATTGGCTGGATGGTCACACTCAAAGAGTTGTGGTCAGTGGCTCTGGATGCCATCCAGAGGGACCTGGACAGGCTTGAGAGGTGGGCCTGTGAGAACCTCATGAAGTTCAGCAAGGCCAAGTGCAAGGTCCTGCACTTGGGTTGGGGCAATCCCAAGCACAAATACAGGCTGGGTGGGGAATGGATTGAGAACAACCCTGCAGAGAAGGACTTGGGGGTGTTGTTTGATGAGAAGCTTAACATGAGCCAGCAAGGTGTGCTTGCAGCCCAGAAAGCCAAACGTATCCTGGGTTGTATCAAAAGCACCATGGTCAGCGGGGCAAGGGAGGTGCAGGTGCTCACTGTGCTCTTGTGAGACCCCACCTGGATTGCTGTGTTCAGCTTTGGGGCCCCCAGCACAAGAAGGACATGGACCTGTTAGAATGAGTCCAGAGGAGGGCCACGAAGATAGGCTGAGGGAGCTGGGGTTGTTCAGCCTGGAGAAGAGAAGGCTCCGGGGACACCTTAAAACAATCTTCCAGTACCTAAAGGGGGCCTACAGGAAAGCTGGGGAGGGACTCTTAACAAGGAGAGTAGTGATACGACAAGGAGTAATGGCTTAAAACTAAAAAAGGGTACATTTAGATTAGATATAAGGAAGAAACTAGTGGTGGTGAGGCACTGGTGCAGGTTGCCCAGAGAAGCTGTGCATGCCCCATCCCTGGAAGTGTTCAAGGCCAGGTTGCATGGGGGCAGCCTGGTATCATGGGAAGCTGGAATTGGATGGTCTTTAAGGTCCCTTCCAACCCAAACCATTCTGTGATTCTATGTGTAAATGGTGGGAGATGTGGTATCTGCCTAAAGGATAAATTTTATTAGCTGTCATATTGCTGAACACTGTGGAGAAACCACCAAGTGAACAACCTTTGTTAAACTGATGAGACTGATTGTAAAGGGTCCTGTTTCACCCACACATTTCTGTGGGAAGCAGCCACAATGCCAGCCTCTCAGGGAACATCTTGGGGAGCTGTGAAGTCTCAAGGCTTCTTAGAAGACTGATCCAAGGCCTCTAAACCTGGACATTAAAACAGCAAGCACCCAAATGTCTGTCTGCTGTGTAAAGCCTGGGCCTTGTGCTCAGTCTTACTAAATTATCTGGGACACTGGGGCACAGAGGTGTAAAAGAGCTTTGCTGGAGGCAGGGTGTTGACTGGACGTGTGCAGCTTTTAGATAAAGAAGAAAGCACTACTTCATCGTGCAGTGCGGCTGAGGAAGGGAAGCCACTAACGACCTTCCCCTGCTTCAGTTTCCAGTCACTGATAATGCTCTGAGCAAGCGTGTCTCTTGCAAAGAAGCCCAAATCTAACTACCAACTGACTTCATAATTAAATAGACTTTAAGGCTCAAAGATCCCGTGGAAGTCCTCTCCTATGGTACCCTTGTATCAGTCCCTGTGCCAGCTGATGTGGACTGGACCCAGCATGCCCAATTCTGTTGCTATGGGGGCTTTTCAACCCCCTGTTGCGTTGAAATAATATAAAGTCACAGATCAGGCTTCTCTGTGTTACGGGGAGCAAAAGAAGCTTCCTGTACGTGTATTAAAATTAGAATTTAACGGTGGCCAGCGGTGTGACTGCTCTCCTGTGACCAGCCAGCTGCATGTTTTTGGTTTTTAAGGCAGAAAACAGGCATCAGTGCTTTGCCACATTCGGGACCAGCTCGGGGGGCTCCTGCAGCGGGCCCCGCTCCACCACCCAAGCAGACCAAAAGCTTTGTAAGGCAAACTTTGTGCCCCCAAAACACTGGGGGAGCGCCACCACCCCATATGGCCGCAGCCCCCTCAGGGCCGCCTCCGGACAGGGCGAGGCGGCGGCCATGGGCCCGCCACCGTCCCCGGGGTGTCGGAAAAGGGGAGGGGAGACAAAATGTCGGCACAGCCCCCCGGCAGGCTCCCTGGCAGGCTGCCTGCCGGCCGGCTGCACGCCGCTCGGGCACACGGAGGCGCCATTTGCTCTGCCCTTGCTCTGCCCTTAAACCACCGCCGGTGCCCGCGCCTCGCCTCGCCCTGCACGGGCAGCTGCAGGCGGGCACCGCGTCCCCATCCCCGTCCCCATTGCCACACACACACACGGCCAGCGCCCAGCCCGGCGGAGAAGCAGGGGCAAGGGGCGGCCGGCTGCGCTCCTAATAAAGCGCCCTATAAATAGGCTCCGTGCACGGCCCTCGGGCTTTGGCCGCCGCGGCTCTGCAGGCGGCGCGGTGCAGCCCAGCCCAGCCGTGCTGTGCCGAGCCGTGCCGAGCCGGCAGGAGAGCTGGGGCTGCCGCAGCCTGACCCCCCCCCCCAAAAGCAAGATGCCCCGGGTGGACGCAGACCTCAAGCTGGACTTTAAAGACGTCCTGCTCAGACCCAAAAGAAGCAGCCTCAAAAGCAGATCAGAGGTGGGGGCTCCCGGACCCGGCGTGCTTTCCCTTTGGCTCTCAGCCCCTCTCTGCCTTCCCTCTAACCCTCCTTCCTCCTTTCTTTCCCTCCCCGCTTTATTTTTATCCCCCCGGTGTAACGTCGCAGTGCCCTCCCCGCTCGAAACGCCCTTTGCGTGCCGGGGGGGTGATGGTTGCGGGTGGGTGCCGCCGCTCCGGGCAGGAGGGGGACGGGGTTGCGGGGCCACGCCGCTTTTTTGTAGAAAAAAAGGGAAAAAAAATGAAAGAAAAGGGGTGTCGGGGGTGCTGGGGGCGCTGCTTGCTGCCGACAGGTGCCTCTGCGGGGAGCCAGAGGGGGTGGGGGGGCCGGGGTGGATTCGTCCCTCACAAGGCTCGGGGCTGCATGTCCCTGTTGCTGCTGCCAGCCCGGGTAGGGCTCCATGTCCCTGCAGGCTCTGGTGGCTGATAGCGGGGTACCCCTGTGGCTCCTTCTAGCAGAGGTCAAGAAAGACCCCCAAAAATGTAGTGGGGGTCGCCTCCACCAAAAAAATGTCTGCCTGAGGAGTGAAAGTGCCGTCTCGTTTACCTCACGTAACCCCAAGCTTAGGGAAGGATTTAGTTTGACTAATGAGGGTTGTGCCTTGTGCTGCAGCATGGCAAGGGGATTTAAGCTTTTCTGCAGGGGAAGCAGAGTGGGGAGAGAGGCTGAGGCAGATCAGGTGGGGTGGAAAGAGAAGACTGGGGTGGGAAGCAGGGGTGGCTGTGGCTGTGCTGGTGGGCAACATATTTTCATAACCTTGTGAAAGTATAAGATTAGGGAGACCCTCTTAACAGAAACGTAACCTCAGGTCAATCTTGAGCCCTCTTTAAATTACAAGTAACAGCATCCAGGCTGAGTAACTCATCCTCATGTGCGAGTACCGCTCATCAGGCTTGTAGGCCCTTGCTGGCCATTTGCTTTCAGCACCTCCAGCCCCTCTTTTGTTTTCTTTTTCTTATTAAAAAGTCACCTGTTTGCTGGGCTGGCAAACAGGTGGAGCTGTGCTCCAGCGAGTGGCACATCTCTCCTGCTTCCAGCACAGCGCTTTGTATATTTAGCGGCGTGCAGGGCTGCCGGGAAGGGAAAATGATAGGGGGAATGTGAGCCGCTACGGCAGGGTTGTAGCAGGGGGCTGCCATGAGCTGGTGAAAGCATTTCAGACCAGAAAAAGTGCGTGTCATGAGGGGGGGGGGTCAGTGAAAGCTGATGAAGGTTAAGAAATGGGACACCATCACTGAGGCTGTAGCAACAGGGATAAACAGCGAGAGCCGGATCTGAAATGGACAGCCCCAGTCTGCCTCAGAACAAGAATATAAATAAATAGTGCTGGCAGAGGAACAGAGGCAGCACACTACAGTGCCTGTTACCCAGCAAGCTGCTGCTTTGAAGCTTTTATCAGCAAGCGTCTTGCTTTTTTGGTGTGAATGCCTCATTTTGCACAAGGCTAGCTTTTTCTGCAGTAGCTGGAACTAAGTCAGCTTCTTAGGCAATTCGGGGTGTTTGCAGCTCTTCTTCTGGGTCTGCAGTGATGATACTTGATTGCAGTTCTGTGCACTGTCTTCATTATCCGTCACTGCATTTTCTGAGAGATACCAGAAATCTTAAAATTTGAATTCAAGTCTAAAATTGATTAAAGCAATAATTGGAGTGGGAGACTGTAGGGGCACAGCCTTGTGTGTCAGTGGCAGCTCAGTGCTCATATACCCTTGGACTTAGGCTCTGCAAGCTGTCCCATTTAAGTTCACCAGACAAGAGCCATTAGTTCATTAGTCTCCTAGTCATTCATTTAAATTTGTAAATTTAAATGAATCCAGGAAGCTTTAACAGACCAGTCAATGTCTCAGTGCTTTTTGAAGGTCTAGGTAGGAGTTAATAAATTTAATTAATTTATTTTTCTTCTGAAGGAACACTTACTGTTGTTGAAAGATGGCGAGCAATCCTAGAGTCTGAAGTTATTTTTTCCTAATGCATAGAACAATAAGCTATAAATTAGCTGTTGACACTCAGAAAAGAGATCTTGGAGTTGTGAATCTCTGAAAGCATCAGCAGCATTCAAAAAGGCAAAGAGGAGGTCAAAAATGTGACTAGAGGAACTAAGCATTACTTGGTATGTTCATCTTGAATACACAGCTCTGATGGTCCCTTCACAAGAATATCATAATAGCTATGAAATACCAGAATAGCCACAGAGAATAGCAGCAAGGGTGATCAGCAGTATTGACTGCTTTCAACATGAGGGAAGAAAAAAAAATAGGCCTATCCAGTATGGAGAAGAAGAAGAATATACCGGGAGTCCACAAATGAAGAGCGGAATGGAAAAGGTGAAACTGAGAAGTGGTTGCTGATTGTTTCTCACAAAACAAGACAGGAAACATTGAATATACTTAGAAGGCAAAGATAATACTTCTTATGTAATGTATAATTCATCTTTGGAAGCCATTGCTATAGGATATCAGAGAGGCTAAATGTATGAATGTATTAAAAAAAAAAAATACTGGGCAAATTCTTTGTCCGTGAGTGGCTATTGAGCACAGTGGGTTGGAGAAGACCTCTGGCTTCGAAGGTTTGTAAACACCAGTTTCTTGGGGCCTGGGAAGGTAGGCTAAGGAAAGAGTCTTTCAAAACTTGCCTTGGTTTTTATGTTCCCATCCCAGACATCTGGTACTGGCTGTTAGGAGAACTAGGGCACCACATAAATGTCTATAAATGTCTCCATGCCTGTGTGCCATTTCTCCTGCTCTTGTACAACAAAAGCCTCATTAGTGGAAGCCCTGCAATTATCCCACACAGATGCCTGCCTGCACAGTATTATCATTTGTGAGGATAATTGCATGAGATCCATCTAGCTGGTTGGCTAAAGGAAGTCAGATATGAAAAGTTATAGTAGGTGGAAGTGAGAATCACTGTGAGTAAGGGCCTTGCGTTTCCTGTGTAGCTTTGCATCTTGCCTCAGTCTTCTCTTAAACGTACTCTTCCATCTTCAGGTCATATGAAAGGGACTTTTTCCTCTGTATTAATGTAAGGTGATTGTTCTGGTGCTATTGTCTCTGTAGGACTGTTTGCATGCTAGTTTTTCCCCCCTTGCTTCTTGTTAATAATTATATTATTTAAAAAAAAACAGTGAATGAAATATATGAAAAGCCTTTCTATTTCCCCTTACTAACTTAAGCTGAAATTGCCATAAGAATGTTATGTCAGCAGTGATGGGTGGAGAAGTGGGCTTCTCTGATAGTGAGTGGGAAGAAAGGCAAGTCTCCAGTAAGATTTATCTTAGACTGTCCTCCGAAGTGACCCTGCCCTTATGAGCTTATACAAAGTGAGAATCTGTTTCATAATATGTCGCTGAGGCACTGATTTGTTTCTCTCAAATCAGTAATAAAAATATCACCATATTAATCAGCCAGAATGTGGCTTGCAATATGACAAAGCTCAAAATATGCTGTAAATATATAATCAAAGTCCTTTCTTTTTTATATTGCTTCTTTTCTGGTGATGGATTTCAGTTCAGTCCAGGTCTCTGAGCCTTCCTGGATTAAGGAAGTGAGAAATAATCAAAACTATGGAAGAGCCTTCATTTTCACTGTGTTATTTCAGAGACTAAACTAATATCTTACTGTTGCACATTTCTTAGATTTCTTTTTCCTTTTGTGAGATGCTAAGTAGACCAGAGGGAACTGATGCAGCTTTGATATTACCTCTTGCATATGAACAAAATGCCTGATGTTATCATAGTCATTTGAGGATGCTGAAGAAGAAACTGCTTTGAAGACAAAGGCTCGCACAGTTGTAAGAAATTAACTTAGAAACTAATTGCCTTTTGGTTTAATAAGCCAGGGTATGATTGTACGTATTGTTTGGCAAAAGTAACAGGCAACCATATCCAAAAGTAAGAGCTTGATTTTGAATTATTATATTGTCATTTACATGAAAGAATGGGACGAATCCCTCTATGCCTTGGAATCAAGCAGAGCTCCAGCTCCGACTCCTGCGGAGTTAGGATTTCACCTCTCATTTCTCAGGCAGCCACACAAACATCTGATGTTACTTCTTGTTTAAGAACATAAAATAATCCACAGTTCCCATCGTCCTTTCTTTCCTTTCCTTATCTGTCTCTAACAAACCCCTCTGCCTTCTGTTTTTTTTTGGTTGGTTGGTTTTATTTTAATTTTGATCCTCTTTTTCTTCAGCAAGAGCTCTCTAACACAGAAAACAGTATTCCATATATGTATTTTCTTTGTTATTTGTAGGGCAGAAGTTGTAACAAAACAAGTAAATGAAATTTAGTGAAGCAGTAGTGGAACGAAAGGATTGGGCAGCTTGAGGAAAATTAAGAATCAGAGTCCAAATCTGATGTCGCTGAAGTCAATGGCAAAACTTTTGTTATGTTACAATCAATTACTGATAAGAACACGTGCCTTTCCATTGCAGGTTGACCTCACGCGCACCTTCACCTTCCGCAACTCCAAGCAGACGTACACGGGAATTCCCATTATAGTGGCAAACATGGACACTGTGGGGACGTTTGAAATGGCCGTGGTTATGGCTAAAGTAAGTCTTGATTCTCATTTTGGCTTTCGGAACCAAGTAGGTGGATGACAGTGAACAGCCTCATTCATTTTTAGCTATGATCGTTGAAGAATACGGCATGAGAAGCTATAAAATGTAGAGCAAGAAGGTTTCCTGTCAAAAAGCAGCTGTGCTTTTACAGCAGTGCAGTTGCCCAGAGAGAGGGATCCAGATTTTAGAATTTTAGTGGGGATGTTTACCGGGAAGGTCACACCTTGCACCTAGCTCAGCCTCAGGTGAGCTAGAGCCCACTAACCTCTAGAGCTTGTTTTTTCATGTGTATATTGTGTGCTTATCCAGAAAAATATGGTTAGCTGAGAAGGGTTTTATAAGTGTAGGTTCCTGGATAAAGCTGCAGCAGTCAGGAGTCTCTGGGTAATAAGCCTCTAGCCTTAAGCCTCGCCTTAATCTCTTGCAGTGCATAAACACATGCAAAATATTGACCACAACTCTATTAAAAAATGTCAGAAGCCTGGTCCTGAAAGGTTGTCTAACCAAGCTACCTTTGAAGAGACATTTAGAGTTGCCTGGTCCCTTACTCACTGTTTTTCACTGTTGCTGTTTCTTTCAAGCAAGATGACCCTATACTTACAATGGGAATTTCTGATATTCTGTTATGCCACAGCTGAGGGAAGGACGGCTATCTTGGACATTAATATCAGTTTTCTTATTTTTGCTAGCATGCAATGTTCACTGCAATTCACAAGCATTATTCCCTGGAAGAATGGAAGCTGTTTGCTGCCAATCACCCAGAATGCCTTGAGGTACATTTTCGTACTGTAAATTATTATGGTTTATTGCTCTGTTCTGAACTCGCATACAGTGGGGTCCCTTGGGAATACTGTCAAGTGAGGTTTGGGGGATTGGAGATATTTGCTGTTCTTAAATGCATCCAGGGAAGTGGCTTGTCCTGGTTTAAAATGTAGGCTATGTGAGTCCATTATGAAGTGCTAATATTAAGATGCAAAAACAACAAAGTTTATATATGACTAGAAAGGAAACAGAGCAATATCCTGAACAAACAAGAAGGGTACAGCTAGGAAGAGGTCTAACTGCTAGCCTTTTTCTGGTGGCAGCTGTGGTAGTGCTGGTGATGGAGAAGGCCAAGTTCACGAATATGGATAACCTCAAGAAACCCAACAATGAACTGGCCCTGCATGCCCTTGTGGTAGGCAGAGTCATTGCTGTCAGGTATGAAAGCAGACCCAGAGCCTGTGGGCTGGAGTAGCCCGGGTGCTGGGCCCAAGCAGGAACAAGCTTTGGAAGTTGTCAGAGCACGCGTGTCCTTCCTTCACCTCCTTGCACCAGAGCTCACACTGTACTGCTACTAGCTGTGCTGCCCCTCTTGTTCACAGGGCCCTAGTACAGAGAAACACTGATTGCTAAATCTAAACACTGATGTAGGTTCAGACTTGTTCGTATCCAAATTTCTTCTGCGTTCTGGCAGGACCCGACACCAGGAGAGGCAGGAGAAGAGTGTTATCTAACCACTTCTCCTCCTCCGTAGTGTTCAGCACATTTTTGAAATGTGGCCTGTACAGAAAAGAATACAACACAGCTGCATTGTATCTTTACCTTTGCCTCATTTCGCAGCTATGTTATAAAGGCTATTGATTACAGGATTGTCTGAGAGCCAGCCTATCACTTAGGTTTGTCAGTGTGCCTTATTTGCCACCGTAGGGTAGAAAGTGATCCCAGGAATATCCTGTGCCTGAACACTTTGGCACTTAGATAGCTCTATGTGGTCTGTAATCGCTGGAGTAGGCTCTCCTAGTGATTAAATACTGACTTGTTCCGTGACCTTGGATTTCTGCAGAGGTTTTGTGGGCCAACAGCTGTGGAAACTATTTTGCTGTTGGAAAGAACTCATGTGAAGACAGAGGAGGAAGCAATCTGCTTGTTTTCAGTGGTAGCTGACCCTGCTTGAGCAGGGGGTCGGACTGCAATCTCCAGAGGTCCCTTCCAAGCTCAACTGTTTGTGTTCTTCTGTAGATCGGGGGGAGGGTTTGGTGAGCTGAATCCTGCTCTGACAGTACTCAACTGTTTTCTTGGACATACACCAGGTTAGGGCTTCTGTGTTTGTGTTATCTGAGAACAGCAGAACCTTCATCCATCCCAGGTAAATTATATTTGACTATGATAAGGAGCCTGTGAATCAAGAGCTCATAAAACACTAATTTTACTTCATTTTAGAGCCTGTAAACAAAACAGAGGTAATAAATTGGTATTACCAGGAAGGCATTTATTTCATATTGTATAGTAAGACTTTCATTGGTTTCCAGCACAGTTTTCCTTTGAAGTCCTCACAAGACTATGTGGAAGAAGAAATACAAAGCCTGTATTTAATCCAGTTTTTACAATTTCACGTTCCCCTTTGTTCTCCCTCTGTATTTCCAGCATGTAGCAGCAAGCTCGGGTAGTGGCAAAGCCGATTTGGACAAGTTAACAAGTATTCTAGAGGCCATCCCACCTATCAGATACATCTGCCTGGATGTGGCAAATGGCTATTCGGAACACTTCGTGGAGTTTGTGAAGTCTGTCCGTGCTATGTTCCCAAATCACACCATTATGGTAAGTGTGTAAAAAAAGGGTGGAGGGTGTGTGTGTGTGTGTGTGAATTCTGTCCAGGAACAGGATCCAGAGTTTGGCTGGTAGGCATCAGAATCTCTGTGGTAGCTCCAACAATTTCTGAGTCCTCATTTAAAAATAAAAGGGGGTGGGGTGGAGATAAAACACAAAAATAAATAAATAAAAAGATAAAAGCCTGGCTCGAACCTTTTGTCTTCCAGACAAATACATGTGGACTGATATCCTTCTGAGAATAGAGAGGGCAGCTCTATTCATCTCCCCTTTCAGTTCAGCAAGATGTTGGCTGAGCCAGATGACGGCTGTGTGATAAGATGTTGGCATTGTCAGTCTTCCACTGCTGATAACTTCTGTGGGAATGCTCAGTGTGTGCTCTGATACAGCAGCCTGATGTTGGCATGGCAGGCGGGGTGGATCCAATTTTTCTGCGGCTCACATCCTCCTTCCCACACCAGAGGCAACCTCTAATGATAAAGCGTGTGTAGGTTTATTCTGGTGATTCCAAGCTGAGGTTTGCTGTGGGAATGTGCCAACATTTCTGGTCAATTGAGGCCGATCGCTGTTCCCAGCTATTAGATCACTAGAAGGCAGCTAAACATAGACTAATCCTTGCTGATGATAAGAATCATAGGGGCATTGTGCAATTGTGGATGGGGTCATGAGGGAGCAAAACAGTCAGTGCCAGAGCTTTTCATGCCCCCTCTGTGGTGCTCCTGTCCTTTCTCAGAGCGCTAATGCCATGCTTCCTGTACTCCTGCTCTGAGAGTAGGGTGTTTGCATCAGCATGGGGCTGCTTGCATTAGAGCTGTACTTCTCCTGCTTGTTTCTCAGGGCTCTTGAAGGAATGAGTCTGAATTTGTTTCTGTGGAATAGCAGAGATTCTCAAATAAGAAGCAGATTCTTAATGAGGCTACCAAACTTCCTTCACACCAGTGCAGCAAAAAAAAATGATGTGCTTAGGCAACACTTTCCTACTCTTTCATGCCAACCATAAAACTTTGCTCACAACAAAATAAATGCAGAGTAAAAATGGTCTGCAGTGCACAATCTGAGTAGGTTCAATAGGGAACTGCGTGTTCAAGCAGCTCAGGGAAGGTTATGTTCCTTCCTCCAATGTCAGAGGAAGGAAGGCAGTGTTCCTGCCTGCTGAACGGTGGTGGCACTGGAGGATGGAAATGGTCTGGAATGCCTGGGGGCTTCTGGGTTAATGTGTGCTAATAAATAGGCATCCTTCAACAGCTCCTAGCAGACTTTTTGGCAGGTCCATATTTCCCATGACTCTGGGGAGAGTTTTTGAAAGTTTGAAGTGATAGTTGTGGGCATTTTGAGGTGGCTGCTTCATGCTCACAGCAGTGAGGGAAGGAGCTGTTTCCTTGCTTTGGGTCTGAAGTAGTGTCCCTAGTTATGTCATTACCCCAGTGTCTTTGGCTTGAGGTGTTGTGGGAGAAAGGGGTCTTAAATGACAGAGTTTATCGAAACAAACACAGCACAAACAAAAAAACCTCTTCCCTTCCTTGTCAAGAGTGGAGAGAAAATTGTGTCATCCTCTCCTACACCTCCCCAGAGACTGCTGACTTTGCTGGCTGAGGGAACTCAACCAAGGTGAGCTGCCCCAAAGGCACAGCTGTCAGTGCCAGAGTTAGTTATCAAGCCCAGATTTTAGTCCTTAAGCTAATCTCATCCATTTCCCACATCTGTTAAACTACCTTCATGGATTCTCTGCTTCCGTGACTTAAGGTTATTCTTACTGACAGCACCACCTGCTTGAGCACATCTACAGCCCTTCCCCGACCGTGGCTCCTTTCTTTTAACATGGCTTAGCATGGCTCACGTGTTTCATCTCCTGCACAAGGATACATTTCCATTCCTAAAAGCATGCTAACAAACTTGGAGCATTCAAAACCCTTCCATTTTCCAAGGCCTGCAGAGGCCATGCAGTCGCTGGCAGTCTCCGATTCAGCAAGGCAGGCACACCTCTACCCCACCTCCAAACAAGGTTACCTCACAGCCCTGCACCAAGATGGCCTTGTGAAGCTATTCCTGGCTGAAATGCAGGAGCTTATCTAGGCTCTTTTTTTATGGTACTCTGGAAGACGTGTCCTGCTGCTACCTGTTCTCTGGCTGCTTTGATGTCTCTGTGCTGCGCCTGCAGTATGCTCTCTGCTGTTGTGGCTTTCAAACAAAAGGGTTAGCAGTTAAATACAAGGTATAAAAATAAAGGAGCTTTCTCATAGCTGAAAGTGATCTCCAGGACCTTGCAGGCTGTCTTGTTTGCTTTCCTCAGCACGACCATTCATTCCACAGTCAGCTGCAGTGCAGTACAAAACAGTAACCCAACCCCGGGTCTCAGGGAATATGTGCTCCCAGGGGCCGTGTAATGGGCTCAGCTCTGAGGCTGAAATGTGATGTGCAAGGCAGCTGTGATTAACGTGCTACTCTCTGGGGCTAATGCTCCAGCGTAGACGGAGGATGTGTCTTGTGTAACAGCTTTTCAAGAGCATGTTTTTCCTTTTTTTTTTTTAAATACTTGCTTTTATAATCACGCTACCTTATTTTCTTCTGCCTGGCTCTCACAGAAGCTCTTTTCACTCCTGCCTTTCATACCGCTTTACAAAGATCAATTCCTCTGTGAAACACAAAGGACAGGGAACACAAACAGGGGCACAGAAAGACAGCATGACTTGCCTTAAATTACTCATTAGATGGAAGATGAAGGAAGAAGCAGAACTCAAGTCTCCTGAGTGCCCCACAGATGTGGCTCTGGTCCTCAGAATGAAGAGTAATGGTTCAGTGGAGTGTTCTGCTCTAGCACAGCATCATGCATTTGGGCTGTGCCTCACACTGAAGTCTAAAGCAAAATTTCAGTAGACATTCATGATGGAGGGACAGAGCCTTTATATTACTGTAAGCGTAGTCCACATTTATTAATGTAATTATTGGTGGTACGGTTCTTCCATTTTACTGGAGGTCTGTTTAGCAAGCTAAAATATCTGTGCCAGCCAGCTTTGCCAAATATTTATCTTGATTTTTTTTTCCATTTTTTAGCGTTCTCTGTTCATTGCACAGGAAAAAAAAAAAAAAAACATGCTGAAGGGAGCAGAGTGTAACAGGAAGGAAAAGGCTGGGGCAGGAGCACGCAGAGTCACAAAGCAGGAGCAGAGAGAAACAGCAGGGGCCAGAAACCACTGTTCCCCTTGCAGTCAGTAACTTTTCAGGGCCACAGTGGAGGCAGAATTCGGTCAGAGGAAGCCATGCAGATGCCTCCCAGTTTATCTCTGCAACAAGCAGCAGAGTCAGAACAGTTGTGGTGTTTTCACCTGGGCTGGAGTCCCAGAGTTAGGGGCCAGCTGGAGTCCTGGGTCAGAGATGGGGATGCTGCCAGGGCTGTCTTGGGTCAGTCACAGCACTACTGAGTGCAAACGCCCACCTGATGGCCAGCCTAGCAAAGGGCATCATCTCTCCATCTTACTGTAAAGCACCCCTTGCTTCTGTGGGTGGGAAGTGTCCTTTGGCAGCGTTCCTGATAGCGTGGAGGCACAGACTGTGCTTTTCCCTCTAGGAAACAAGAAGAAAGTTTTGAGAACTGTTGTCACAGTCTCTTCTCCCCAGCTTGATCCATTGCCATTTGTCAGCAGCCTTCAATCAGTGCAGCAGTGTTCCTGTCTTAGTCAGTGTGAGTTGATATTTATAGCAGGCTTTTATGAAGCACAGTATCAAATGCCTGCCTGAAATTCAGAGGCACTACCCTACTGCGTTCACTAATTTTATATCTCTGTCAGGGAAGCTGTAGCCTTTATAATCCTGTTAGGTGAAATCCTGATCCCGTCAAAATCAGCAGTGAAACTCCCTCTGACTTTTCTGAGGCCAGGACTTCCCTTGGGATTGACCCCCAGGTTGGTCATCCTGGGGCAGTGCTGGAATGAGCCGGGCTGACACTCACTGAAACCTCAGGCTGCGGGATGGTACTGCCAAATGTCATCCCGAGTGTGTAAGGCCAGGCCCGCAGCCAGGGCAATTTGCTCCTAATAACTGGCCGCATTGAAAGCATGCTGGTTAACCTGAGCTGCAGGGACTTCTCAGTTGCTACTGATGCTATTATTTTACTGCCGGGAGTGGCAAAGTTAGATTAGCAGTGGGGTAATTACGAGGGCATATCTCTTTCAAGAAAATCAGTTCTGCAGCAGATGAGTAATGCAGTGGTACGATAAGATGAGTGTGGCTTTTGCTAATACAATGCATCCAACAATTACTATGTTCCTTGACTGTTTCCCCAAATAGACTACAAAAAACATTGGCCATCGTGACTTCTTTGTACACGTTCCAATTACTTTACTTTTTATTGTTTAATTTTAAGGAGGTTTCATCTCTTCAGTCTCAACCTTTTTATATCCACCTATTTATTTATTTATTTATCATTTTTAGTCGTGTGGCTTTATCATGCTGGTCAGCCTTTCAAAAGCTCTTTTGCCTCTACTCAGCTGTCATGCTGGCCTCAGTGGTAAAACAGCTATTGCTCTCGTTGGAAGCAGAGTTCATCCGGATGCGAGAAAACAGCTTTCTCTGCTCTTCAGCTGCAATATTAGGGCCCTTTCACATGCAGATAGCTGTATCTCTCTGGCAGTGCTTTTTGTCCTCTCTGAGGTCTGGAAAAGGTATCTAAGGAAGCCTGTCATCGGCAGCTTGAAGTCTGCTATGTAGAGCTCCACGTCTTCCCTGAAAGTTTGTCGAGGATCTGCAGATTCAAGAAGGCTGAAACCACTGGTGTGTGCATATGCATTCCAGGAAAAAAATGTGTAATGGGGACATAAGTGCTTTTCCCTGCTAGGATGAGCATTTTGAATCAACATATGCAGTTACAACATTCTCTAGCAGTAACTTAACATTAAACGTCTGGTTAGCATTTCTGAAGAGACAGTTTGACAACCCGCTGTGCTCTGCTAATAAGACACTGCTGTTTTACTTAAATGTATATTTGATTCTAAATCTCATGGAGCCCCTGTTTGCTCGTGCTTATCACTCTGTTGCATGTACTCCAGTATTGCACCAGGTCACAGTGTGCTGCATGGGTACTCACCTGCCTTCCCAGTGTAACTGCTTCTCTAACGTAAGTGGCATGCTCTCTTGTCACCCCGCCTTGGCATGTGCATCACTTAGTATAGTATAACAAATTGCCACTGAGCAGAAAGGAAGCAGCACTTAGCTGGAAATGCAGTACCTATTACACGTTCTTTATTTCCCGACAGCTCTCTTTTATTCTTTCTATTTTTTTTTTTTTTAAATCAATATCACGCAGTTTGGAGAAAAGTTAAGTGGTCCTGTGTCATACACCACAAATGGCTGCCTAAAAGTATCATTGTTTTTTTTAAGTGCCTCAGGTGGTGGCTCGCCAGCTGTTTCAGGCTAATGAAAGGGGGAAGTAAAATTCATTAAAAATAAATAAATGGTGAATTAGAAGGCAAAAGTCAGTAAGTGGAGCATAGGCCTTGACCAACATTCCCTGGGTAGCTCCTGTTGACTTCAGCAGGTGTTTTGTTTCAATAAAAACTACGCAAATATTAAGTAAGGATTTTAGGATTTGTCTCCTGCTCTGCATTTTAGTACTGTTACAAACACTTGCCAAGTCCTGAAGTATTGTTTGTTTGTTTGTTTTTCCTGAAATGTTTTCTGAACATCTCTAAATGCTAAATTCAGTTCTCTACAAATGAATTGCCATCTCGATACAGGCTTTAAATGGGTGATACGAGCAACTGGACACGGGTTTATTATAGGTTTATTTTGTACAGTTTTTGCTAGTTAGGAACATGCTGTAGACAGGACAGACATAGACATGCTACAGAGCTGAAATCCAAAGCAGATGGTTTTCAAACATCCCTTACAATCGAGGCTTACTGGACCAATCGTGAAATTAATTTGCCTCCAGAACGTATGATCTGTTTCATGTCAGCAGCATGCACAGTGAACAGTATGGTGAACTGTATTCTTCCTGGCTATATAGCTCAACTAGTAAAAGATCTGGGTAACAGTTTACAGTACCACAATTAGTCTTACTGCACTAGTCTTAAAATCTCCCGTATGTGTGATATTGTTCCTTCTGTCTAGGCAGGCAATGTGGTGACAGGAGAGATGGTAGAAGAACTTATTCTTTCTGGAGCAGATATTATTAAAGTGGGTATTGGACCAGGTAAGTCAAATCCAGTCAAAAAAGGGTGATTTATGGTAACATTCATGGAGGAATTGCCCAGATGGAACCCGTGTATAATGCTGCAGCTGCTTGCTTGTCCATTAGGATTCCTAGACCCCCTCAGGTCAATAAAGTAACAATACCCTTGCCCGTAGTTGATTTAAGAAATGCATGGGCAGGGTGATAATGTTATGTACTACAATGTGTTAGATATTACATTTTCTGGAAATTATGATGCCTATTGTTGGAAGCACTGAGTTGCCCAAGGTGCTGCCATAATCACTGGTGATATGTATTGTGTTTAGGAACACTTTTTCCAACCTGTTGAAAAAAACACGAGTCATCCCAGCTAAAGCTCAAAGGATACTGTGTTCAGAGTTATCTCCTCCTACCAAGGAAAGACAGGTTTCTAAATAGCTTTTTGATTTGTGTTGTAAGCTGAGGTTGCACATATTGTCAATGTCTTCAAGGTTGAAAAGGCATTAAGTAAGTGTGAAGTATGGATAACATTGCCTCTACCTGTTAATACTGCCCAGGAGCTGTGATGCTCGTTAATGCTATCAGTCACTATCTATTAATGTTGTCTATCACGGTAACATTCCTATGGATAAATGAGAGGACCACAAACTTCAGTCTTTTTCCTGCCATCCCTTCCCTAATACCACTCTTTGGTACGTAGTGCTATATTGTCTTTCATTTTCTTCTTCCTCCCCTTGTGTATTTGTTCATGTGCTCCTTTCTCTTGCCATTTTCTTCACGGGCTGCAGCTGGGGCTAGATTTAAACTGTCTGGCACGTACCGCTGGCAGTATAGCTGTGATCAGCCAGTGCAGAGCAGATGAATTGTTTACTCTATATTGGCAAATGGTTATGGACCATGAATGGATAAATTGAGCACAGCAAATGATGTAATGAAGGTTGCAGTTGCGCCTAGGAAGGCAGCAAACAGCAATAACTACTGCAGAATAGCCGAAGAGTAAGCAACAGAGATGTTGAGGTGCAATTGTCACAGGAAAGTTCAGGTAGAAAAGAAGAAATGGAGTTTATAGCCTCACAGTAGAAGCAGTTAGGAGTAAATGTTGCATAGTCCTCCCTGGAGACCTGCCTTCTTTACACATTGACCAACCAAAAATGCAGGTAGCAGGTGTTCTCACAGAAAATCAGCTCTTGAGACTCTCTCCCAGGTAACAGTCTACCTTTTGGGATATGGCAATTATTTATCGTAAAGCATTAGGGATATAAGTACGTACTTACTCTGTGGAGATTGTCTTAAAATTAATTTTCATCCTGCTTTGCAGAAATAAGTCTGTTGACACCTTGACACTCTTTGAAAGATCATTGGAAACTTTTACTTTATTGATTGTTTAAGTGTACCTAGATACCAGTTGGGTGAAGAGATTTCACTGCATTTAGTTTAGAATCTGTTTTCTTGTTATCATGCAGACCTTTATGGCCTATATCCTAAATTATAAGACCTGGATTGCCAAAAAGTAGTCGTTGTTTTAACTTCTAATTTGACTACAAAAGTGGGGAAGGAATTCCAAAAGGTCTATAGCCATGTTACCATGTTAAGCTGTGCTTGAAGTGGGGTTTTTGAATATATGCCTTTATTTTTGTATATATATATATACACCTTTTTATATATCTATAAATGCACCATATATGTATATATATATAACGTAGTGTAATAATCAAATATAATTAGTGCATTTCCTGTAATGTTACGCTATACAGCTTTTTGAGTATTATTTATCTTGGTTTTTAAATGCTGTGTGCTGATTTACTTCTATTCCCACCTACTGTGATCAACCAAATACTTCTGCTTTAAATGTTAAGCTCAAGGTGGATTTCTCTCGCTTGTGGAAAATCTCCACACACACAGAGAAGATAAAAGCACAGATTTTTTCGTGAGAATTATTTTTAAAAACATGTAGAAAAGAGATAAATAGAAATAATTATTGGAAGAAATATTCAGATATTAAAAGCTGCTGCTAAGCCTCACTGAAGCTGAGACTCTGGTCCCTGTGCCCCCCTTCTCTTTAGGCACATTGGTCAGATTTTCCTTCCCATGAGGCAGTAATTCCCTCAGCAGCAAACATTATGGATGAGACTTAAACTGGTAATTGGGGCCCTGGAGAAGAAGGGGTACTGTTAGTCACCTTGATTACAGATCCCATGAACTGGTGTGACAGCGTTTCAAAAATGAATTTTCTATGTGTTCCTTTTATCCACGAGGAGCTAAAATTTGCAATAGAGACTCCATGAAGGAAAAAATAACATAGATAGAACCACACTTTTTTTCCACAAGACAAAACAAACTGTTTCTTTCCTGTCAGCCTAACCGGCTATGTTTTTTCCTCTTGTTTTCTTGTCTAGGTTCTGTGTGTACCACTCGGATTAAGACGGGGGTGGGCTATCCCCAGCTAAGTGCTGTTATTGAGTGTGCAGACTCAGCACATGGCTTGAAAGGACATATCATCTCTGTAAGTAAATAACATCTGCTCTCAGATTCCCCCTGTGCAAACTGTTGGGGAATAGGAGAATCAAACAGTCCAGTACCCTGCATGTTAAAGGCTCTCTTACTCTCCTCTCCCGTTGACCCCTATACTAGCTCCTGGGTTAATGTAGGTTTAAATGCAAAGGAAACAACTTGCTGTAATGTTTAAAAAGACTTGGGCACCTCACTCCTCTTTGTGCCTTTGGAAAGTGGCTGCTTACTCCCTGAATGGAGTGTGTTGCTACGTGAACAGAATAAGAAGCTTGGTGGTGTTCTCATATTGAAGCAAACAGTACTCCTTCCTACGAGAGACTTCTGAAAAATGAGTGAAATGTAAACACGGCTTTCCCCAGAGAGTGGGACTGAGTGACAGGCAGGCAGTAGAGGGGAGCACGATATGAAATGATACGTGCCCATTTATGCCCTGGAAGCTGGATGGATTCAGATAGCAACTTCACAGAGCTCTTTTTGCAAAAAACAGGAGCTTTTCAGAGGTGGGTCTGGGTGAGCACAGCTGGCACGTTTGCTACTGATGTTCTCACAAAGCCTTGGGGAAATATTGAACCTGTGGAGAAGAAAGAGGGTACAGGTGCATTGCCTGCTTGTGGCAGCTTCCAGCTTACCAGCAAGACCAGACTCGCCTCATGTGGAAAAAATAAATCTGTCAGCATGGTCTCAGACTGACTGCTACAGCCTACAGCACCCAAAAGTCCTGTGTGCTTCGGCATGCCCAGCCACAGGCCTGCCCCTGACTGTGTCAGGCTCACAGAGTCTCTCTGCAGGCCATCTGTAAGGCAGCTGGTTATGGGGAAGGTGCACAGACTAACCTGGTTTGACCAGGTTGTGACTGGTGTCCTTGTGAGGAAGTGTTTATATTGTTGTGGAAGGAGGGGAGGGAAGAGAACAAACTGATTGTGGATGGGCAAAGTGCCTGACTGTGTTTCTTGGAGGTATGGGTATAGTGGAGCAGAAAACAGGTACGTGGTAAGTCAAATCTCCCTTCTCTTTATTGTTACTGCGTGCACATTCCCCCCTCTCCCTGACTCCCCTATATGAGTTTTGCAGAAAAAAAAAAGAAAAGCAGTCTGTGATTTTATGAGTTGGGCAGTATTACAAATGTTTATGCCTGTAGCAGACGGTTGAATGTGTGTGCAATAGAGCATGAAAGACTGACTCATTACTATGAAGGCTGGGTATATGTGTCGTCCTAGTAGTAGTGCTCAGAAACACGTCCTGGTTTTGCAATAATAATTTTCTGCTAGCAGCTTTCAGAAGAATGTTATTATTCTGATTTCCAAGAAGATATGGAGTGTGTACTTAAACTGTTGAAAAATCAGATGGTTCTGTGCTGCTCCTCCTCTCATTTCTTGCTTTGCAGACGGATCAGCTCCTCACCTGCTTGAATTATGTAGGCTTCAGTAAACCCACACGTAACTACCTAACTCTTACAGGGGGGATATAGGAGGGCAATTTAATAGCTGTCTGCTACAATTTCTGGTTCAAGAGAATTTCCTTCAGCCATAATTGGAGTCTAACACCACTGGAACTCAACTCTTTCAACTAAGCTAGGGAGACTAGAGCAAGGGTTGAGGGTATTGTGCCTAAATTATGGAATGTGCAAGTAGATATCATTGTGCTTGTTGGAAAAGAAGGCTGGACTGCATGGTCATTGCCACAACTCTGGCAAAGGTTTTACAAAAGAGAGGTACCCTCCCGAGGGGAGACACCAAATGAGACAGCAAATTAAGTATATAACTGGGGCGAGAGGCAACAAGCAAACATGGCATCCCCCAAAATGTCTTGCTACTGCCATTGTGTAGGTTCAGGAAGGAGCATACCCTGTCTGAGCCAAAGGGGATCTCTGCAGGCAGAGTGCTACCATCTACATCAATTAGGCAGGAGGAAATATGTCCAACTATTCTTGTTCTGTCCTTTTTTAAATTATTATTATACTGATATTGAAGTGTCAGGAACAATGTGCAGGGCTCAAAGCCTACCAGCTGTCCTTCGTGTGGATTATAGCTGATGGTGTGGTATGTGTTTGTCTCCAAGAGAGCACCCCAAGGGTGCTTTCCTGCAATTCCTTCTGTCATGTCCACTACCTTCATCAAATTTGCTCCTCTTTAATGTTAGGTATGAAGGGAAGTCCCGCTCACAAAATGAGACAGCCGCAGTGCTGAGCACAGCATGAGCACCACAAGGAACATGGCACACTTGAAGCTCGTTCTCCAGCAGCTCTGCTAGCTAGGATGGCAGCACAAACTGGGATTTTAAGCATGTTTGTACTACTGAAGTGATCATGTGTGCTTTTTGGAGCTGATAGGTTGACAAAGAAGGTGACAATTTTTAGGCAAACATGATAGTCTGAGTGCCTACAGTCACACAGAGAAGGGAGAGGTGAAATCGTACGAGTTACTTTCCTTGTGCTAAATTATCTTTAAGGCTCAAAGCTCTCCTCAGAAATGAATCTTTCATGGCTCACTGAAAAAGGAGAGGAAACCCCGCCTAAGATACAGGCACTGTTTCTGTCCTGCGCTGTTTGTCTGGGAGCCAATACTCTCATTTTTTTGTTCTCGCTAATTCATTGGCTTTGAGAAAGTGCAGCAGCGAGTTACAGGCCATTTAACTGGAAATGTCCTTCAGAAACGCCCCACTTGGGATAAAGCTTCTGTTTCTTGTAGGTCAGAGAAATGCTCTGCTGGACAGAGAGGCAGTCACGCGTTCTAGTAAGCCAGCAATGTGGAGAACAGAAAGCAGCCTTGCACGTGTTCCCCCTCGTCTGGCCATGGCTTGATAGGGATCCCAATTTCCCCTTCACCCTGCCTGGTAAGGGGAGAGGATGACTAAGGGGTTCTTCACCCCGCTACTGCTGTACCAGCCCTTCTTCCACGCAGAACGTTTTCCATACAGAACTACACCCAGCATGTATAGTTCAGAATAAATGTATTGTTTCTACTGCTGGATATACCACACACTTTATATATCATCTGCATAATAAATAGCTGTCTGCTGATAGCTGCAGTAATGGCTAATTATACTGTTTATTATAAAGGTTGCTTGAAGCATGTATGTCATATTTATAAACTTATTATATATAGTTGCATATTATGTTCAACCAGATCATACTTTTTTTTTCCATCCTCTATTTTTCCTCAGGGTAAATTTCGGGGTTGTAAAATGGGCTGTCTGTTCTGAGAACAAGAGTGGGGAAAACAGCATAATTTTAGCCATGTTAAAATAATTCTGTTGACTGAAAAGCTGTTTTCCCCTCTCCTTCAGCTCAGCAGCCTGCTGTCTCCGAAGCATGCCCTCCGTAGGTCCCGTGGAAACCCTTCCCAGTAGGCCTACTTTAGGGTAATCCCAGTTTTCCTGCATTCACGTGGGGATTTGAGGCTGATCCTCCAACAAGCCCCATGACTGTAGCCCAGCAGTCCTACAGGTCATTTTGAGTCCAGACCCAGGCCCCTGCTGGAGCTGGCTGAACTGCAAGGGGAAGCTTCCCACACTGAACACAGCAGAAGCATGCTCTGATTTTCTAAAGAAGGTGGTTTATTTTTCATGTGTAATCAAGTGTTTTAACGCATGTAGCTTTATTACATCGCATCTTCTGGCATAACTGCTTAGTATGTCCCTGTTTTGCTTCTGTGAAATGCTGCCATTTAGTTTACCTGCTTTTATGAAGAAAGTGGAGGCATTACAGATGAAGAATCTCAGCATTGGTTACTTTTATCTTATATAGTAACACCTGAGCTTTTGGGAAAGTTTCTTAATCTGCCCAGATTTTTGTAATTTAGTGATACTCTAAGGGAGTTTTTGGAAGCCAATGATTAAGGATGACACAGGGAGACACCCTATCCTGGTGAAAGCATGAAGCCTCCATCGCTGCCACTACTGGGTTAATTAAAATAGTCAGACACTGAGCCACCCAACAAGAACAGACAGAAACCCATCTACCGGAGAGCATTTGTAGCCTGCCTGTCTCAGTCAGGCAGTACGAGTCAGGCAAATTTCTGACACTATTCTTTGAAGATTATTAGACCCCTCTTTCTACCTCTGCTGTTCCTCCCCTGACACATGCACACACACACACTCACACCCTCCTCCAGGCTCTGACAGACTTGTCAGAGGGAGAGAATTGCACCAGCAGAGCCCTTAACAGGAGAGGGAGAGATTCAGCTGTCAGCCCAGCACTCGTTTCTGGAGCTGACAGCAAGAGTGTCTAGCTCAACAAAAAAAGCATAATGTGCTAGAGGTTATCAGCAAATGAAATAAAAGCCTTTAAACCTCTATTAGGCACTGTTTCCAGTGGGATGCCCTTTGAAAAGCCACTCATTTTCAGATCCACCTGCTCAGTTTGTGCCTGAATCCTTTTCTGTGCACAGAGGGGCTCCAACGCTCAGTCCCGCTGCCAGCTACCCGTGGAAGTTGGCTCTGAAATGCCTGGTGGTGGGGGGCTGGCTGAGCACAGCCACAGGTCGTACACAGGCAGGGATTTCTGCCACCAGGGAGGTGAAACAACGTGAAGCAACCCTTCAGGTCTGCGGAGCAGATTCAAAAGCAGGAAGCCTGTCAGCAGCCTGCAAAGGACCCTGATCTTCAAAGAAACGAGGAGCTCTCTTGTCGCAGGGACTGTGCAGGGTAGAAGGATCTTTCATCTGATCCGCAGACCTTTACAAAAACCTAACGAGCCATAGCACATGAGCTCTTCTGTGTGCCTTCCCTTTTTTTACAGCCCTATCACACATACCTAACTTCCCTCCCCTCAACCAAAACACCCTCAGCAGCCACATGGCCCTGCACTGAAACTGAAACACGTAGCTATAAAATGCTAAAGATCTCCAAGTGCTGTTGTTTCTTCACCAAGCACATAGCAAACAGTGAGAAGTATGATGAGAGATTAATTTTCACTTATCAAAGACGAGATTGCCTAATTTGCTTAAAGATTATCAGATCAAAATCCAACGTATCTGATGGTGTATTTCCTCAGCCCTCCTACTGTGACCTTTTAATGTATTGTAAACTGCTGAGAAAGTTATTTTAAATGTCTGGTGGTTTATGGTAGGGGTTTGTGGTACCTCTGCATCACACATCCTTTCGTTAAAATGGCAGGGAATGATTCAGATCGTAACAGAGGGGTTTTTTGTTTTCCAGTTTCTGGGATTTAGGAAAGGTTTATCAGGAATTTGCGTTGCTGCTGTTCCAGTGGTATGACCAGTAGACTACACAAGTAGAGTAAAGGAGCTTAAAGGAGGAAAGCGGTAGAAAGGCTAATACAAATTCCCTAAAAACTCAGCTAAAATGATGTGTAGCAGTGATGCAGGCAGCTCTTGATGTGCTGTTCGTGAGGAGGGGCCATCCAGCTGGAGGTCACAGGGTGCCAATGCTCACTGGGTCCCTTCTTCTTTTCTTCATGCAGGATGGAGGATGCAGCTGCCCAGGAGATGTCGCCAAAGCGTTTGGTAAGGACAATGTTTCGGGCCACCAGTTACACCCTGCGTGACTCCAGCACAGCCAGCAGCGATGCAGGAGTCAATTTGACCCTGAATGTGTAATCAGCAGTAGGTTACGTTTGTCCCTGTGGGTGACCGCAGTGAAATTAATACGCCAGACATGAATTTGCTCTTTGGACCAGACAGTCCAAATTCTGCAGGGCGAAAGCATACAGTGGTCGAAGTCCTATTTAGAAACTATCTGCCAGGTGTGCATAAGATACAGCTACTGGGACAGTAATACAAAGAAAACTGATAAGGATTTCTTCTGAGTAGGGTTCAAAGCAGATTGTAACGCTGCCAAATCTGCCTGACCTGAGCCTGGATGAATGAAGAGGTGGTGGAATGTGTGCTGGGCAGAAGAACAAAAGGGAAAGGCAGGCCAGACTCCCAGGGATGTTCTTGGGATCAGCTATCCCCTTGAAGAGATGGGATTTTATTTATACTGTATCTCTTAGAGCCGAGCAGATGTCTCAAACATCCAAGTTAATAATTAACAGGCTTTGCTCTCCTGCCAACAGCTTCAGTAAATTGCACCAGCTTTTGCTGATAGAACAGAGAATGTAATCTGTATTTTCTGTTGGGCATGGGAGTTACATCAGTGGGGGGGGTCAATGTCACGACTGTCACTTAGCCATAACGTTGTGGCGTGGCTGCTCTTCATGTGAACAAGGGAATGAATGCATCCTGGGCTGACAGGACACCTAAAGGCACTCTGCCAAAATACCAGGCCCTCGGGAGATGTCACAGCAGGGTAGTGCCTGGAGTACAGTAGGACAGCACAGTCTCTCATTGAGACTTCAGGGTGGTACGATGCAAGGCAGAGCACGTTACCATGCACAATCCTGCTCAGCAAGAAGCTTTGCAAGCACGGAAAGGAAGGTCAGGCCTCAACTGAGATTACAAAACTGCCAAGAAAAAAAAAAAAAATCGAGCCTCCTGGAAATCTTGAAGCTGAAATCTGTCACCAAGTTTGCCGACAGCTCCCGGTTTTAGACAGGCCAGATGACAAGGAAGATGTAGCTAGGGGATTTGTGCTACCCACAAGGAATTGGCTGTGCCACAGGATTTCACAGGCCCCTTGTGTTACCCACACAAGGTATGATGTGATGTAGGGATCGATACTTTCAGCTGGGCCATGCTGACCTAACTGAACAGCAGCATCCACCCTCTGACAACGAGACTGTGTGACAAAAAAAAACACCACCCAGCCTCTCTTCAGCCCGCCCTGACATCCTGCTGCCTGCAGCGAGGGCTGCGTTGGGTCTGGCTTCCTCGTGCTCCTCAGCTCGCCGTGGTTCGTGCTGGTGTCGCCAGGACGTGGTGAGCCAGCACTGCAATCTCACTGCCTGCACAGCTGCCTGCTCAGGGGAAGAGTGTTAGAAACCTGAGATTGCACAGGCAGGAGTTGTGCTCTCACAGCAGGCCAGGGAAATCGGTCTGACCTGTGGCCAGGGGGGCTTTTATGGAAGGTGGATGGCAAATTAGCACCTGGGGATGGAGGGCTGGGTGAAGGATGGACAGGAGACACAAAGAGGGCTTTTGGTTAACCATCTTACGGATTAATGCCATCTCTTCTTGGTGGATCATTGTAAAGTCCACGGAAGGGCTGTTGAGGTGCTCATTATAAAGCAGTGGCAAGGCAGCCATTTGGACTGAAAAGTGTGATAAAAACCTAGATGTGAGGAGTAGCATTGAAAAATGGCTTAAGGTGTGACTGGGGGGGGGGGGGGGGAGAAGAAACATGAAGATACTGAGAAGCTCTACAAGCTTGAACATCTACTGGTGACAGGGATCAAAGGTAGATTGGGCATTTTGACAGGGGAAACAAGCCTAGGACAAAAGGCAAGGGGCAGAGAAACTGAAGTTAGGGGACGAAAATGCGTGGAGTTACAGATGTTTTGGGAAAGACCGCTGGGATTCCAGAACTGCTGCATGGAAACTGGGTATGGATTTGGGCAACTGCAGATGACACCGCTATCTGGGCATTGGAGATGGTGATGGAAAAGGTGTAGGTTGGTCAGGAGGCGTTCGGAAAGCGTGAAAGGACCTTGTGCCGACCTCTGGGATGGCTCACATGGCTGCACCCTTGGGAAGGCTGATAACACAAACACATTTCTCAGAATGCCCCGGGGAGGCACTACTGTCTCCATTCTTAAAAACGAGGGGAAGTCAAAGCACAGAAATGCTAAATTCAGTCGCCTGAGGTCACATATCTTTTTGTGACACAGCCAGGAACAGAATGTGCTTTTTGCGTCCTGCGCCAGCATCTTGAACATGCTATCGCTGCTCCTTTCAGCAGGGATACAGGAGCAGAGAAGGAAAAGGGAGGAAAAATCAGATGGCAAAGTCAGCTGGGAAGAAGCTGGTTCCAAAATATACCTGACAGATCATGCTGGCTTTTTTCCCTGCTTTTGGAGGCTGTGTCTGTACACCTGCTGTTGCAAAGGCTCAGTGCCTCAGCTGGAGCACAGGTGGATGTTTTTTTTCCAGGGCCAGCTGCAGTCCAGGCACTGTTATGCTGTACCTGCCTGGAGGGCTGGCCAAGCTACAGATCTAGGCTGATTCCACGTGAATTTGTGCAGAGCTGATCTGGTTATCAGTAACTCGTATCATCAGGCATGCAGGAGACAGATGAGGGCTCCATCATTTCTTTCAGTTTGAAAGAGTTACTGAAGTTGGAAGAGTTTCAATCCCATAACTCAAACATGTTTGCTTTCCTCCCAAAATACACAGTCAAAAGAAGAAGAATAGGTAGATACTTAGGTGGGGAAGAAGCAGAACTCTGTGATCCTGAAGTGTAGATTTCATTTGTCTTGTTGGCACTAATAATGTGGAGGTTGTGAGACCCACAATCAGAGCTAGAAATTGTTAAGTTGCTAAGCTACTACAAGTCATATTTGAGAGGTTGTGGCAGTCCACTGAAGTTCACAGTGATAGGAAAAGGGGAAACATAACCTCTGTTGTTTTTTTTTTAAGACCTGGGAAACTACAGGCCAGTCAGTCTCAACTCTGTGCTTGGCAGGGTCATGGAGCAGATCCTCCTGGAAGCTACGTCAAGGCAGAGGGAGAACGGAGGGGTGGCTGGTGGCAGCCAGGAGGGTGTCACTGGGGGCAAGCTGTGCCTGACAAATCTGGCAGCCTTTTGGGATGGGGTCGCAGCAGTGGTGGATAGGGGAAGAGCAACTGACAGCATCTGCCTGGACTTGTGCGAAGCATTTGGCACTGTCCCACACAATATCCTTGTCTCTAAATTAGACGTGGATTTGATGGATGGACAACTCAGTGGGTAAGGAATTGGGGGATTGGAGGGGTCCCCGAATTGGGATGGTATTGGCCAGGTAGAGTCTGGTGTCTTTTGGCAGGCTTTTGACTTGTGTAAAAGCTCTCTTTGAAACCTTGATCCCAAGTCTGTCCCTTCTCCATCACGTTGTTTTCCTCCATCCTTGAAGGAGACACCAACCTGATTTACCAGAGTACTTATTTTTTTTTTAAATGTGGAGCAAAAGTGTGCCAGGTAACAACAGGAGCTCCCCACCAGTAACTGAGAATGTCTTAAAGGGTGAGCTTTCCCTTTGGTTTTGGCAAGGTAATGGTAGGATCAGGCAGGAACAAAACCGAGGCTTTAAAACTCTTGTTGCCATCTGCAACAAGAGAACCCAGGCAGGACAGCTGAATGGGTGCCTGCCTGTAAGTACTGCGTGTGATGTGCTCAGCACTTCTGCATAAGCCTCGTTTTTAATATCCCCTTACAATCCCTTTGCCATTCCTTTCTAACAACAAGGAGGCAAAGGGAGGTGAGGTCAGTGGAGCAGCTGGGTCTGCTCTTTGGAGGAAGGGAGGAGAGAGGGAGTTGGCTTTATAAATCAAAGCAGACTCCACAGCTGCCGTGTGTCCTAAGATCAAAACAGTCCCAGATTCAGGTTTGTGTACAGAGCTTTTAGACGGATGGTAGAAGCTGTGTAGATTTGAGAGTGATCTCACTTGCCAGATCTCGAGGTCCGGTGATACTGTTTGGATAGCGGCAGAGGTCAGACCAAATCCTAAATGCCCAGCCTGGCATCTCCCCAGCGTTTGGACATGTTCATGTGATGTGGTGGGGTTAGTTCAGGCCCACCTGCTTTCTGTGAAGTGAGGTTTATATCCATCTCAGGCTCCTGAGAGTAAAACCCAAACTTTTCTAAGCAAGGCTAGATAGGCCAAAATGTCACGGGAGCTGCTGCTTCTTTCCATTTAAAGTGTCGGAGAAGCAGAATTTGCCGTGTTTCAGTTCTTCAGTTTGCTGCAAGCGATAGAGGCGAGGACTGTCTGTACCGAAGTGCTCAGGGCTGGCTGTTGTTTTTGGAGGCCGCTGTGTGCTTGCTTTGTCTTTCACCCTCTTTCCATTCCCTGACGTGTTGCTCTGCTGATCACAGGAGCCGGCGCTGATTTTGTCATGCTCGGAGGAATGTTTGCAGGCCACGACCAGTGTGCTGGAGAGATCATGGAGAAGAATGGCAAGAAGGTGAAGCTCTTCTACGGGATGAGCTCTGATACAGCCATGAAGAAGCATGCAGGAGGGGTTGCTGAATACAGGTAGGAGCTCCTGTAGTAATTGCAGGCATGTAACTTCTGGAGGTGAATTCTGCCACAGACATCAGGTGGAAACAGGCCCGTGCCTCTCTTCTCGTCTAGGAAGAAGCCATTAGTAACGCTTATGGCAGCAAATTGGGGTAGCCATTAGTCACTATTCTGACCTTCGGGCCTCTGAAGATGTGTATGAATTGCATGTGGGAACATGGCATGCCAATCTGTGGTTTGTGGCCCTCTGCTTACCCAGATTGTGTGTCCTGTTGCTGTGTTGGTGCAAACACATTTCTCACCCCTTTGGGGGTAACAGAGCACCAGAGCAGCCCATTACCCATCTCCCAAAATTGTTCAGCATGTGGGAGCTTGGATTGTGAGATAAAATCCGCAGAGGATGCTTGGGGAACACAAGGAAGTCAGGCCTTGCAAAGGAATCTTGTCTATTGCTACTTTGCTCCTGAAATTGGTGAGAATTTCGACTCTCTGAAAGCATAGTTGACTCTGGAAAACCTCTGATGTCTTTTCTCTTACCAGTGGCAGGTAAGGACACTGCCCTTAGACAGCTTTGAGAGTGATTGCTGCCTTACATGATACGCTGACTGACTGAAGGGATCCCTTTTAAAGCTTCTCCGCTGGAGTAGATTTAGGCTGTGGTCCCAACTGATAAAGTGCTGTTTGTAAGGGTCTCGGAGCCAGTGACTTTTCCTGCTGTTCCAGACATTGAAGATTGATGACTTCTATCAGCCTTGTCTGCTACAAGTGCTCTGTCAGGTGTTTTTCCCAACGTGTCCAGCTGCTGCCAGGGGCAGGAGTGAAATACGAAATGCTTTAATTTGAGGAGAACATTTACATCCTGGCAGATTCTCAGGCCAAGATTTTTCTGCATCTGGCAGGACAAGAAGGGGATAGGGACACCCTTACTGTTTGCCTGAGGAGGACCCGTGTGTCCTTCTTGAGCAAAGCATGTACCCTTTCACAATTATCTCATAATTTAAGAGTGGCAGCTGCCAGCTACGCAGAGGTGCTGGTAACCTTTTATCTGAGTTATGATAACTCACTGTCCTTTGCTCCTCTGTGCTTGCATCAGCTGGAGAAATCTGTGTTTGGCTTAGACGAGGTGCTTTCAGCTCCTTGTGGGCAGTACTGCACACCTCCTGCTTGATCCATAGCCACATTTCGTTTTGCATTCTGGTGCTGCAAAGTCTCCTGGGGATCGAGTTCTGAAACCTCAGCAGCAAGGGACCAGAAGGGCAGTCTGAAATTCTCAGTCCCCTTTGAGGTGCTGCTTTTTTGTGCTCACCAGTGGGTACCACAGCAGAAATGCCCCAGTCTGCTCCTGGCTACAGGAGCTCCAGGCACTGTAAGCTGGAAGCTTGGAGCTCCAAGTCTGTAAGCTGTGGCTGTTAACTGTGAGGGAGCTGATCCTCGTCTTGTTCCAGCTGCAGCCACAACTCGCAGCTGGCCGTCCTCACCAGCCTCGGTCTCGGTCTCGCTCAGCCTGCCCCAGCACGATGAATGTCACTGTAGGTTAAAAATAGGACCTGTTGGTTAACAAGCTCTGTAAATGCACGGGGCATCGAGGGGATGATCAGGAAGAAGGCAAAGCCTCTCTTTCAATTACTCTTGCAGGAAAAACTTACGGAAAGTTAAATCACTCGCTAGTTTAGCTCACAGCAAACTTGAACCAAAAGGTTCTAGCTCAGTGCTTTCAATGCTGGATCCCTCAAACCTGTCGAATCAGTAGGGCTTCTTTATGAGCATTTAAAGAGCCCAGCTGAGGTGAGATCAATGTGCTCGGCCCCCTGCAGGATGGGACTGCTCGTCACTGAACTTGGTCTTGGCAGAATTACACCTTTTGGCTGGAGAACCTGCACCTCCGGCAAACAGTAAAATGAAAATTGACAGGTAAAGGGAGGTAGCTGCAGCAGGAAATAAAGTCACGAGAGTCACTTTTGTTGTAATGAATATGTCGGATTGAGCCCATTTAATTTTCTATGAAATACATGGATCCTGTTTCATTACTTATATGCCATTTCTATATTGGTTTATTTTTACATTTTTACCTCCTTCCACGAGGAACACGGATCAGAGCTGGGAATTTCTGAAAGGCAATTATTAAGATTCTCTTTTGGAAGGAAAAAAAAAAAAAAGTAAGGCAGGCAGGGATGGAGACTGCAGTATTGTTAAGTTCGAGCCAATTTGCTTTTGTTAACCCTTCTGAGATTTCACAGGTTTTGTGTGAACGCTGCAGCCCTACTGTGGTCACTCAGCAATTCGCAGCTGCTGCTGAGCTGGTTTTGGCACTTTACACTGACTGCGAGTGGAATTTGGGCCACAGAGACAGAATAGCATCAGCATGCGGCTGCTACTTACTGCCTTTTTCTGTATCCCAAATGATAGCCTGAAAAAGCTGCTCCAGATTCTTGCCATTTCTTAAACGCTCCGCTCATGAGGTTGCCTCAAGCCAGGGCAGGCTGGCCCCTGTACCCCGACCCACATTTTGCCAGGCTGACAGAGCACTTCGCTCCATGCACCCCGCCAGGATTCCCACCCACATTGCTCATCCCTCCCTGCCAGCAGCATGGCTGAACCGGCTGGGAGTTACGGGACGCAGCATGGATTAAATCCATTCAAAACGTCTACAGAAAATCCCTTTCCCTTTCTATTCACCCTGCTCAGTGGCTAGCAAGGTGCACGGAGCCCCTGCTGAGAGCACGTGAGCACACAGTTCCCAGTTGCTGGGAGCCCCACTTGCTCCTCCTTCGCCTTTCTTTCCTGAGGAAGGGTGAGTTTCAGGTCATAGCTCGGGGACAGATGTCAGAGCTGCAAATCCCTCAGCATTTCCTGCTGACTTGCTTACGCAGCTCTCTGCCAAGTGTGCCAGCCTCCGTGACACCCCTTCTAATCCTCGCGCAGCCTGCCTGCAGACATTCGGTGCTGGCAAAACAGTCTGGGCTTGGGGAGCTTTTACTTAGTTTAACTTACTGCCAACTACCATAAATGTCTTTTAGGCACGGGAAGGGGTGGCTCACACTGCTCTCAGACCCAGGGGAACCATCCATGATCGTGGCCTTCTCCCACACAGGTCCCCCTGGCAGCCCCTCTTCTAGCGTCAGGCTTTGGGTACGTTCCCATCGCAGCCTCCACCCCTGGCCAGGCTGTGGAGGTGAATAGTTGCAGCAAGGGCTGCGTGCACGTACTCAGCTTTCACCTGCTGCCCTGCAGGGCCGGGGACCAGGACCCCTCTGCACTGTTACCTGTTACAGACTCCACCCCTCGCCCCTGCAGGCTGGAGTTTTAGGGTTAACATGAACACAGCCTGAATATGTGCTCATCACAAACGTCACTCTTCATCCCCGTGGACAAGATTAGAGGTTAATGCTGCACCAATCTGACTGCGCACTTACTGCAGGTTTCACACTTTGTTCTTGCAAAACACACAACCAAGAAAGAAACAACAGTTTGAGTCTATCTCCTTGTCGAAGACACCAGTGGGGCTGTGATCCCGGGCGCTGCAGGGCTTCATCTGGCTCCACGATGGGGCGCTCAGTGCTCACGTGCTGCAGCGTGGGCATTTCCCCGTCTGGGGGGTAAGATGACACGCCAGCCAGATGGGGTCCCTGGGGGCTTGCTCCACAGACATTGCATGAACTCAGCTCTGACCTTTTGGCTGCACTTGCCGTTGCCTAACTCCCAGCCCCCGATTCCTCCCCACCCCATACTCCTTTCTCTTCAGGAGCATCGGTAAGTCCCAGCACACAGAGTGGGAGCACTGAGAATTTTCAGCCATTGACACTTTTTTTTTTTTCCAAGGCTGAGCATAAAACTGTAATGCCAGCATCCTCCTTGGAGCTATCTGACACCTGCCTTCCAGCGTGCTCCCCCCAGCACAGTGCTTACAGCTCGCTTCTTGGCGCCCCAGCAGTTCATCAGCTGATACCAGGGGGGCCTGGTAGCCGTGCCCAGCCATCAGAGCTTCTGGGCTGTGCCATGAGTGGCCACCACTCGTGCAGGGTTTGGTCTCCAGAGCCACGAGGAACATCTCCCAAGGGCAGTGGCTCTGAGTGTCCCGTGCTTCTGTAAGTTTGCTCCGAAAAAAGGCCCACCGAGCGCACATGGTCTGGGCTGAGCAGCAAGTTGCAGAATTGTGGCGTGGCCACTTTGGCGTCCCTTTGTGGCCCAGGCCTTCTCGTGCTGCTGGCTCTCGAGCCGAAAATAAAGGGCTGTCAGCTCCCAGCAGCACGGCCCCGGCAGCAGAGCAGCAGCCTGCTAGATGGCAGCGGTGCGTACGCCTTCTGCTCGGCGCTTATTGGTGTTTATTTGAGAGTTTCAAGAAAGAGTCAATTACTCATCAGATGGAGGGAGATTAATCACGGTTCCTCATTCACATGGCATATTAACACTTCTCCTTTATTGTCTCCCTAGGGCTCTGACCCCACATTTAAACTAACAGGATGAAATATCGCCAGGCTCACACTCAAGTACCTCCGCAGAGCCGCTGGTGCTGTTGTTAATGATTTGCAAATGCAGCCTCGGAACAGGCATGCCCTTTCTTTCACGCACTATCCCCTAGACAACTTGTTTAAGGGAAAAGTAAATAAAGGCACATTTACAGCAATGACAGAGCCCAGCCATTGCTTCTGACTGGGTTCTGCAGGGCAGAAGAACAGCAGTCCCCTCTCCCCTCCAGGTTTCAAACCCGAACAGATTCTGAAGTGCCATCCAAAAAGCGCTTAAAGCCCCAGTCCTCAGCTGTCAGTCCTCTGCCTGTGACACGAGAATCTCAAACATTTCTGAGAAAGTTAAACGTGATGGAGAGTGAGGATTTAAGCCCTGCAGGAGCTGTGCTGCCCGGTGCTTGCCAAGGCCCAGCTCCCCTGTTCCTACAAGTTGCCTGAGCCTGGCCACTCCTTGCACCTCATCTGTGACTGGAGGTGAAGCATTTCAGTGCTCGAGCGCACCAAGGATCAACAGGCAAGCACAGGACAGATCTGGGGGAGTGCTTATAAACTGCAGTGTGCAGAACCTTCACCGCCAGCACTTCCAGCACACTCGGTTACGTTTTACAGCTGCCCATAACTGCAGTAACCATTCTCTTCTTCTGCAGGGCTTCGGAGGGCAGGACCGTGGAGGTGCCGTACCGCGGGGACGTGGAGCTCACCATCCTGGACATCCTGGGGGGGCTGCGCTCCACCTGCACCTACGTGGGAGCTGCCAAACTCAAGGAACTCAGCAGGAGAACAACGTTCATCCGGGTCACCCAGCAGCACAGCCAGGTCTTCTCGTAGCCCAGGACCGGGGAACTGGAGAGAGGGGCAGGGGGAGAGGAGCAGGAAGGGCTGGTGTTTCGTTGTGCTTTCTCCTCCTCGGTGCAGTAGTGGCAAGTTCTCCTCTCTCTGCAGATGGCAATTTCACAGCCACGATGGCTGGGATTTGGACAGGGAAGGTTGTGCTATTAACACAGTGCCATTGGTTCAAAATGCAATAGCCTCATCTTTTATTGTGCCTATTTTATTTTTTTTTTTTAAATATAATTTCTCCTCCTGTTTCTTTCCCTCTGACAAACAGCTGCTGAAAGCCCAGCTAACAAGGAATTGGCTTGTACAGATATGTCTGTTGCACCTGCACATGTACACACATTCCCTCTTTGAAGGCTGGCCTGGCAGCCACCACTGCTTCTGACAGTGCACCCTCCAGAGACTGCAGGCAGGGAGAGAGAAAGATGGAAGGGGTTGAGTGGAGGAGCCAAAACCCAAATTGTCGTCACCTTTCCTCTGGCAAAAGGGTCAGTGTTTGTGGCAGGGCTGCCAGCCTGCACGATGTCAGAGGTGGATGAGGCCTGACTCCTGCGAGCTGCTTACTGGGAAGATAAAATGCCAGCTCTCCACTCTGGGTTCGCAGGGCTGGTGCCCCCATTTGTACTTAAATCTCCCTCTTTCAATGGACCTGCCTCTTCAGGGAAGTTGTCATTGAATGTAGCAAACCCATGCTGTCCTCCCTGTCTCCGTCTGTGGAGATCATTCAGGAGAGGACAGCTCAGAGCTTGCCTGCTTCTTTGTGCACGCTGTTACTGAATTACCTGGGTTCCTGCTTTTACCCATGCTCTGTGGTCAGAATTTTTCGGGACGTACAACCTCAGCAACAGTAAACCCACCTAGGGGAGGTTCCTCCGCAGCCCTCCCTGCTCCCTCGTAAGTTTTCTGCCTGTTCATGTCCCTTTAGCAAAGATGTAAGGATGCTGTGCTGCGCACTGTCTGCGGCCAGGTGAATGAGGTCAGAGAAGTCAAACTCACGTCTTACTTACTTGGTGCCACTCCTTCGCAGTCCTTAGCGTCGTGAAAATCACAAGGGAGCTTCCAGCAGAACAGCCTGATGGCAAGACAGTGACAGGCTGAGATTGAGTTAAAGCACTTGCTCTAAAGGCAGTAATGAATGTTTAAGACTCTGGGTAACGCTTTAACAAAGTGCAACAGCCCGCTAATTAATTGATAAATCACAACAAAACTTCTTTGGAAACACGCATGGCATCCGCACGAGTAGCACAGCAGCTCGTTATGATGAAGGATGTAAAAGTGAACACCAATGAATTAATCATGTTTGGCCACTTACTTCGAAGTGCTGCTGAGATCGCAGTACAGCTGATGTTACTTCGTTCAGGGGCTTGCTTTCCCCTCCTGTAGGTATCTGTGGAAAGAGGTAGGCTTCCTTTGCAAAGCAAACAAGTAAGCTGTAGGAAGGGGAATAGCAAAGAGACTCTAGAATTAGGCTCATAGGCAGGACTGCCCAAAAAGCCATGCACAAGGGTTGGTACGATCGACCTTTCTAAGGAACAAATCAAGGCCACAAAATGATCCCCGATGACTTTTAAGTGTGCTTTGCACATTAGTAAAGGCACCGGAGGTCTTCTAAATGGCCTCATATTTTAAATGTCTTCCATTAAACTTGCAGGGCGTCGGTCTTAATTGTGGTGTGACCCTTTCTTCTGTTTTGGAGGTGAGTAAGGGCCTTAATGTGAGTATAGGTTATGCTTGTGCTGGCTCTAAGGACCATTTGTCCTGCCCAAAATTTGTAAAGGAACCTGAACTCAGAGAGAAGCCGGCCCTGTGAGTAAAGGCTCTGGTCTCTGCTCCCTCCAGCCTGAAAGCATCATGTTAAGAAGTTGCCTCGCTTCTTTACCACAGATCCTACGGTGGGCCAAATCCTGCTCCCTGAGCCCAGAGTACAGGCGGTGTTACTGCCCTGCAGCTGTACAGCAGCAGGGGGTCACCTTCCCTCATTTACACGCCGTGCAGTGCAGGGGTAGAAAGGCAAACAAACACCTCTGCGAGGAGCCCGTGCCAGACCTGACGGCAGGTGTGTCTCCACACTCGTGCCTTCACACGTGGGAGGCGAGCAGTCTGCTGGTCTCACGCCCACTCTCACTATTGCTTTTCTACTTTTTTTAGCTACATTTCTAAACGAAAGAGGTACATATACGTAGTATAGATATATATATTTGTAAACATCTTTTCTAACAAGATCATACGCACATTGAACAGAGCAGCTTTGTGACATCTCTTTGGAACAGTTTCTTTTCCAAAGGGCAGGCGCTGAGGGCACGGGAGGGCTGCCTCTCCACAGGGATGGCACGCGTGGAGTCTTCTCCCTGGCAAACCTCACACTTAGACTGCCCAGGGCCGCTCACAGCCGCTTCCCTGTCCCTTTGCACAGTACCTCTGTCTGGCCCCTGGCTGATCTGGAGGGATGGGGATAGGCTGTACCTTAAGAAGTGCCCTGAATTCTCCAGACGGTGAATGACATTGACACTAAGAGTGGTGACTGGTAAAGCTCGAGATGAGGGTGTTTGCTTTTCCCAATCACAGCTGTTACCAGCATTTCGATAGGCAGCACGTGCTCTGCTTTGTTTTCTCTTTCTCCAGCATGAGCAGGAGAGAGAAATCAGCTGCAGAAAAGGTAAACTGATGGCATGCCTGCATCTCGCCCGTAGTTACACATGGGATTTTAGAGACAATGCTCAACCAGGTCAGCACTCACTACTCACGCTCAAATGTGCAGCTTTCGGACAGGTTGCAAAACAGAAAAGATCAGGTGTGAGCCTTCATTTAACAGCCACTCCTGTGCCTCAGTAGTTGCCTTTGTTGTCTTTTAGCCCCAGCTGCCGTGCCCTGCTCAAGCCCGCTGCCACTCTCGGGAGAAACGGGAGCAGAGGCGCTGAGGCTGCGCTGTGCCTGGCAGGATGGACCACGCAAAGGCCAGAAACACCGGCAAACGCCATGTGCCATTTGCAGATCTACCTCACCTGCGCATTTTTCCAGGTTTTCTGTCATTTGCTGTCTCGTGGAACATCCTGTCCCATTTGTAAGCGCTTAGTGCCAGGCGATTCTGCTCAGCCTGGTCTTCTTCAAGCCTGCCACCCCAGCCCCATCCTGTCTCCCTGCTGCAGGAGCACTGTGAGTGTGACAAGGGCTGCAGGCCACGCTCATGCCTGCTTCCCCCAGTAATGCTGAGCTGAGCACCCCAGGGCAGTGTTGAGGTCCAGCCCCACAGTGCTTTAACTGCAGACACCAACAACCTGTAAGTGGGGATGCCGAAAAGGGCCTTGTCACACCACTCAGAGGAGCCCAGCTGAGCACATCAATCCCTGGTATCTTGAAACAAGATAACACCTAAAAAATCCTTTCTGCCAGCCTGGTTGTGGGGGTGGAAAGGACTGGGGGTGACATAGAGACAGGGCAGCAATTAGCCAGGCCCCGCCGTGTCGGTACAGGGGCTCGTGCTTTTCAGTCATGGGCACTTGGAGAGCTGAGGGCAGGGGCCGGAGGGGCTGCAGCACTCCTGGGTCAGATCAGATGCTGCCGCAGCTCCGCACCCCTAAAGACAGCATTTACCTGACACGGTGTTTACTGTTACTGACGTTTTCATACATGGCTAAGCAATTCGGAGTCCAAAACTCTGTAGTGTTGCCTGCGATAACTGTAAAGCGCTTCTGCATAATCAGCCAAAAAGCGCTAACGAGCCTTAGCTGTCTTCCTGCCCCGCTCCGCACTGCTGAGGTGGCGATGATCAGCGCTGCCGCCCCTCGAATGCAGCAAACCCGTGCATGCAACGCCTCCAGCGCAAGGCCTTCGGGAGCTGTAAGTGGGAAGTTTTGTTATGCAATAAAAAGCTTCACTCTGATGGTCTGGAGAGGGTTTTGTGCTGTGCGTGCACGGGTGCCTTCCTGCCTCGCTGCGAATGAATGCAGGTGTGCTAAAAACACGGTGCCGGGGGGCAGGAGAAATGAATTGGACGAATTACCTCCAGGGGAAAGCTATCCCGCGTTCAGCTGTAACTCATGAAGACAAAGCACGCGTTTGCAATTGGCACTGTTATTTTATTAGTACGAGTATACTGAAACAATAAACTTGTACTGGTATACAGACAATTTCTTTAAAACAATTTTGTTCAAATTTTGAATCAAACATTGTTTTATTATAATAATGAAATAATTTCTACCTAGAAAACCTGCAAGCACCATCAAAGAAAGGGACCATAAAATTCAATAAACAGACGCGAGTGTATCCTACAAATAGACACACCACCATTAGAAAATAGAATATGAATTCTTCCATTTTTTTTTTTAATATTTGTTTTAAAAAAGCTAGTGCAAGTACAATATTTTACACTGGAATTACAGAGAGTATGCACGCATATGGAAAAAAGTTCTCCTGTCACAATAAAAGCTCTTAACTATGTCTGTATGCACTTAAAATCTTCTCCTCTTTTCAATAAGGTGCAAAACGTTATTCCCTCCCTATTTCTCCTTTGTACTGGCCATGTCAGCTCAATTTCTCCCCAACACAAAGCTGCAATATCCCTTTTGCTGGGCCTACACTAGGAACTACACTGGAAGTGTGATTTGCATCAACCCTCATTAATAATACCAAATGAGAAAAAAAATAAAAATAAAATTTTAAAATAATAATAATTAAAAAAAAAAAAAGACCTTAAAAAATTACTGCTGAAGAATGGCTAAACCTTACCCCCGGGCAAGGCCTCTCACCGAGTGCCTTCTCGAGCCGGCCAGCCCCAAGCCCGCCAGCCGCCGGGGACGGTGACATAGCTAGTACAAAATGATTTTCAGTAGCTCACCCGAACTGAAAAAGGTTGGGAAATCCCCACCCGTAACCCACCCCTCCCACGCCCCCACCCACCCCCCTGTAACCCTTTAACACTGCGAAAAAGGACAGTGTTCAACAAGTTAATATATTATTCAAAAAAAAAAAAAAAAAAAAGAGCAAATACATACATTAGTGAGTTTCAACATTAGCTGACTGTCGTAAGAGGTTGTATCTACGCCTTAACAGGTTAGTAACTTCGCTAAGCGGCCAGCCCGACGGCCAGGCAGAAGACACCAATGTAGCCACCCCCCCCCCCCCGGCCCGTTTTCGTCCTCAGCTACCCGGATCCCAACCCCGTGGCTCGGAGAGGAGTTGTGCAGAGTGCGTTCGAAGGGCGAGCAGTCGGCTCCTCGGCTCTCACAGCGAGCCCCCGGGCGGGATCCGGGGCAGAGCCGGGCCTCCCCGCGCTCCCACCCCGGCCGAGGGTCCGGGCCCTGGAGGTTTTGCACGTCAGCAATCCAGTAGTACAGCAACGACAGCTTCAAGGAGTGCCTAAGGCCTACCGCAAACAACACTTCCAATGCATGCCTACTGCATGGTCGAGGGAAAGGGCACAGGAGCTTTGACTGCTCGAAATAGGAACAAACCGAAAAGAAAACAGCCTTGGATGAAGCCTCCATAAAATCCTCAGTGGAAGACTTGAGTCCTTTCAGATAACAAGAAGGAAAAATAAAAAAAAACAAAAAACTACAGAAACCTTAGAGACTGTTATTGTATAAATACTACCTATTGGCTGAATGCACTTCATTGTAATACAGCCGGGGCCCGGGGCCGCCTGGACGAGAGCCGAGGTCACCGCCGGCCCCCTGCTGCCCAGCTCAATCTTTGGACTTAGAAAAAGACCCTCTCTCCTCACAAACTGCCTCGGGATCCTCTCTTTTGGCTTCTGGAAAACACCGGTCTCTCAAGCAAGCCAGACCGCCACTGGAAAGCTGCCTCGTGTGCCTGCTGCTCCCCGGCAGCTCTGGAGGAGGGCGCGGGGAGAGGGGGCAGTGGAAGGGGCTCCAAGGCCGCCCTGCCTCGGGCAGGGCCCTGCTGTGGGCGCTAGGCTAGGATCCCTCACTGTGAACACTTCTTGCTCAGGATTATACTCTTTGGGTTTTGTCTGGAGCAGGAAGTGCTGGAAAAAAAACGTGGAACAGCCTCACGGGGAGAGGAAAAAAAAAATAATCGGGCCGAAAGGCTTGAGGCGGGAGCCGAGCGGGCCGTGCCTTGCCAGCCTCGTCCCTTGGCGCAGGCAGGAGAGATCTAAAGCCGAAACCCAGCTGCAGAGCGAGACTCTAGGTTTGCACAGTAGCCACCCTTTGAAGTGCCTGGTAGCTGCACTCAGGAATTGCTGCTCCAAGGTGTGTTTTCAGCACAGGAATAAACAGTGTGAAAGCATGACTCCATTCCCCAGAAACGGGACCCAGAAATGTAATACGAACAGAAAATTAAGCACAGTTGTTCTTTAAGAGCCTTTTAAGTAATAATTCTTCCTGGCCAAAGCCAATACAAATCAGATCATCTAGACATGACAATTTCTATATACAAAAAACATGTAACTTTCAACCTTTCTCTGCTTTTGTATTTAAAAACTTTTTTTTTTTTTTTTACAAACAAGGTATGAAACTCACTGTTCAAACAGAGCCATCTCTTTTTCAAACACTGAATGAATCATTCCAACATTCATTTTTCTTTTGTGCAATTTTTTTAAAACATTACCTGTACTCCTCAATGTGAGTGCTTCAAAAAAAGTTTCTATTTTTAATAAGCTTCTCAAATTAGGTTTACATCAAAAAATATTCCCACAAGATATAGTGCTACAAGAAAAGATCCTATCAGTAAAGGTAACACATCTGAAGCGAGGTCGTCTATGTAAAAGAAATTGAACTCTGGAGTAGAGGTGTGCAACTCGTTTGGAATTTCCCTATCGACACAAAACACGACACTGTCCTCGGGACAGGAAACCAAGTGGATGTGTAGGCTTGCAAAACTCACACGTATTTATTCATGTGCAAACTGACACTTCTGCCTGGCTGTGTGTGCACGTATGCAGATCTGCATCAACAAATTCTCATTTTTCTGTTGTTTCAGGACCGTGGGGGCGGGGGGGGAGGTGGATAAACCAGAGAGAAGAAAATGACCGGCTGCACTCCAGCGACACGGTCGCCCCCCTTGCTTCTCACATCAGCACTGGCCAGAGCCCCAAGCGGGCTCTGCTGTTACCTGTGATGATGGGGAGGGCAGAAATGGAAATTACCTGTCTGAGTGCAAGCCCCATTTCGCCACGTTTTGGCGTTCATGGGAGAGCAGAAGTGTTTCAACAGGCCACATCCCCCCGCGCCCCCGGGGCATCCCGCCCTGGTGAACCTGGACGAAACCCCAGGGTTTTCCAGCCACCTGAGTAAGGTCAGAATCTGGCCCTAACCGAACCAGGCTTCAGTTTCACAAAGATTTATACGTGTACTTCACAGAGAGCTCCCGAGCCGCCCGGCTGCTTTGGCCGGCCAGCTCTGGCCTTCCCCTGAGCACACGCATAAGTGTTTGCAGAGCTGGGGCCCAGGCCGCTAGTGCCAAGAACCCCTCTTTGAAATAACACTGTTAGTGTTTAAAATAAAGAGGATTTGCTCTCCTTGATACAGACTTTTTCTCTCTCTCTCTTTTTTTTTTTTTTTTAGCAGTTGCAAGTCTGAACAGAATTTCACCGTTTCCTTTTTAATATTGGCAACACACTTTTAAGTGAAACAAATCTCTGCACAGAGTGAATTTTCGTGATAACCAACAGCTACAGTTCACGCTGAGCCTGCTGCTTTTGTATTGCGATCTACGTGATATCTACAGAGTTAAACCATGAGATGCAGGAAATCCAAACTCGTCTGTCACATTGTACATCCCTACTCCAGAGCAGTAAAAGTGCTGCTTCTGGTCACATCAGTGTACCACACATATGCCAGCCCCATCCCTGAGTAAAAGGTGTGAAAAGTTTCTAAATGTTCCTTGATTTAGGGAAACGAGAGTAGTGATGTCACTTCCCCACGCCGAGAAAATGACGGAACAACAGGTCGAACGAAGCGACAGCGGGACGAAGGAATTGAAGGAATCAGAGGAACATCCTATCCCCACCCCTCCCACCCCCCCCCCCCACCCCGAGGTCTGGTTCGTCGGGGGAAAAAAAATCCCAACAGCAACTTACAAAATCCTAAAGTAGGTCAACAGCAACGCCAATTTGGGTTTCAACTGCAGGACTTGAGGTAAGTGACATCAAACTCAAATTCCCCGTGATGTGGCCCAGACAAACTGAAACAATGCCTAAGTTAAACACTATAAGGAACAGTCATTTTATATATATAGATATATAGATAGATTAGATAGATAGATAGACAGATAGATAGATATTTTTAGAAATCCCTATAAAGAGGTTCTCGTTTTATTTTCTTCGCCCTGACTAATTTCTTGGTGATTGTATGCATTTCGTTGTAAACTAAACAGGCCTGCTACAAAAAAAGGAAGAAAAAGAAAATAAAAAGGAAAGAAAACAAACAAATAAACAAAAAAAAAAAGAGACCAAAAGAAAACAAGAGAAAGGGGAGCCGGGCCAGGGCACGGGGCAAACACCGAGCGGCCCCTTGGCCGCACGTGGCCCCGCGGGGAAGAGGGCTGACGTTGGCAAAAATCCCCCCCTTGGAGACATAATGAACCCCGAAACTCCTCTCGTGGTGGTGGTGGTGGCGGGGGGGAACTCGGATTAGGCGCTTTTTGTCTTCCTGGATCTAAATTTTTCATTTTTTTCCACAGCGCGGAGGCCGGGGGCGTGCGTCTCCGAGACGCAAGGCCGAGGCAGGCCTTCACCTCACGCTGACAAAAAGGGCTGGTGTTTCCCACGTCAAGGAACGCCTCACCCTCAACACGTTTCTCTTTTATTTTTTGGGGGGAGGGGAGTTATTAATAGGAAAAAAAAAAAAAGGAAGGAAGGAAGGAAGAAAGAAACTATTCCAAGGGAACAAAAAGGGGAAACCAGAAGAGGGTATGAGATCTAGCTAACACCGCACGGGTGAGTCTACGTTGGCACGTAAAGTATTGCACATCCTACGAAAGCCAAAGCATGGAAAGGGACGATTGTTGGGAAAGAACCAGTTATTTCAGAAATCCTCAGTCTGAAATACAAGCACAGAACTAATACATTCCTATTGCTCCAAACTTATTTTTTTATTATTATTATTTTTTATTTTTTTTTTTTTTTAGTGTTAGTTGAATAGATCCAGTCAGTTTAATAGCCCCTGCTTCCTTATTAACCACGAATGTGAATGCGTATGGTTCTCTTTGAGATTTTTTTTTTTTCCGAGCACGTGTGAATTACGGAAATAGTGGTACGAATGCGAACTAAAATCTGTAATTCTTTCTACTCCTTTACCATCAAAAGCTTAAAAACAAAACAGGAAACAAAACAAAACAATAAATTGCAAGTGCCCTGAGCAGAGTATATGGAAGATTAAGCAACTTCTCTGAGCAGAAATATTAACAAATAAGCACTAACTAAGCAGTGTGACTGTGAGAAGAAACCCACTCAGCTATTTGGTAGCCCGCTGAGAGGTTAATAAAATTCAAGGAAATTCAAGAAAAGTTTCAAGCTATTTTAAACGTATTTAAACTTTTTGGTGCACCCCAGAATATGGTATAAAAACAATTAGTTCTGGTGTGAGCTAAATTTCAAGTAACAAATAACAGAGTCAAAGCTGGGGTTTGGGGTTAACATCTCTTTTCTTAAATAAAAGCACTGTATTTTAGGGGAGAGGGAAAACATGATTTTTAAATAAGTTTGTTCACTTTAGGTACTGTATTTCTAATCCAGGACTTTTTATTTCCTTTTCTCCCTATCAGCACAGCTTCTTCAAAACTACCTGAAGGACGCGAACTCACCAACCAAAAGTAACGACGTGAACGCTTGATCGCGCCGGGCCCGAGCTAGATCCCACTGACATCAATGAGACACATCCCTGTTGGCAGCAAGAGGCTTTTTGTAGCTCAGACCCGAAGTACGTAATACTCGCACCTCCCCGCGACTTTCCGGGAGGCTGGGTGCACAGCACCTCAAAGGATCCGGCCCTACCTGGGGAAACAAAAGACTGAACGGCGTGAATCCCCCCCCCCCAAAACTTGTTTTGTACCAAACTCTTAAATCTAGTCTTTCAAATGGAAAGCAATGCAATTAAAATAACAAATAATAATAATAATAAAATAACAATAGGTTTGTTTTAAAAACAAACAAACACCTTGCTTATGTATAGAAATGTTTCTTGTGGAAAACTCTCTCAGCAAGTCTGAAGACAAATTCTCAGAGCCGTCCCGGTAGGACCTGTGCTAGGTTCTGTGTGGCAGATACGGTAGAAAGACCGAAAATGAACTTTGAAAGGAACAATAACCCTATGAAATGGCCTAGAGCGTAGGCAGGTTAGTGAGTAATTGCTACATTTGTTTATGCTCTTTCAGACCCCCCCCAACCCACAACATTATTAGGTAAAAACTGCAGGAATACCACACAAATGATAAACTCAAGATGTGCAAATTGCAAGATTCTTTAAAGTCCATCTTTTTTTCAAAAACACTGGACAATGATTTTTTTTTTCTCTTTCCTTTTTCCTTTCTCTTATTCTTTTATTATCTGTCAGCTCGCATATGCCTTTAACTCTTTCTCAAGCATTAAAGTTTAAAAAGTGCCTCCTATTAAGTAGTCCTTTGTGGACAATGACTGTCACATACTAGTTCAATAATTCACATTCATCCCTTTGAAACCACATTGAAACTTTCAGCATCTTGCTCGTGAGAAAACTTTACATAGTTGCATGTAGTTACAGTGTTGAAGAGATTAATTTGTTTGCTGCTGCTGTTTTCCGAGCAGATTAAAGTGAGATACAGTACGTACTGAGTGTTAGACCAGGATGCTCAGCAATAAAGTGTGAACAGCATTTTAAGTGCTTAAAGACATTCTACGTTCATCTTCAACATCGGGTTCCTGTGTCACACTGAAATTTGAAAAAAAGTGGCACGGGTCGTCCATAATCATGAACCAAAAACAGTACTAGAGTTAAAGACAAAGACCTGCAACCCAACTGCAAACGATGGATGCCTGTGATCTCAAAGGGGCAGTATGCGTCTCCCTGGTGGAAGCGAATGTCCATGGCCTTAACCCGAGGGATTTGTCTAACACTGCACGGAAACAGGGCCCGCCCAGCGAGCCGGAGGGCTCCCTGCGCACACCCACGCACACCCACGCACACCCACGTGCGCCCAGGCGTGCCCGCCGGCGCCGAGGACAGCGCCCCGTGTGTGTGTGGCCTCCCGGCACCCGACTGCACGAGCAAGCAGAGGGGAATCTGGTGGTGTGGCAGATGCTTGGTGAGCAAAAATCAGTGCAGTCAGACCCCATGGGGGGAAATATATATATACATATACACACACACAAATATATATATATATATATATACACACACACACATATATATATATACTGTAGAGCCTTGAGCGAGAGTTGGCTTATTGTTGACAGCATCAGAGGCTGTCTGATCCTCTTTTGGGTAACATCTGTGGGTTGTGTCCTCAGCATTCACCTGGGGCCAGGAAACCTCTTCAGGGTCCCTCCTCGGGACGGGCGCACGCACACACACACCACGCGTGACACACACCTCTGCTACAGTTCCCTTCTCCTCACCTACCCCCCAAAAAAAAAACCTAGAACGGGAACCAAAACAAGGAAAAAAAAAAAAAACACAAAAAAAATAACGATGACAAAAGGAAAAAAATCACAGCTGGACCCTGTCCTACACGAGGTGTTAGAAAACAGGAGCCATGACAACACATTCATTTCCACTAAGGGTGTGTGAAGCAGATACTGCCCCTTCTGTAGCTCTCAAGAAACCTAGTCACTGACAAACACTTGTGGAAAAACATATGCACCAGTCTCCTGCATAATACCAGCTGCAACTATAACAACAAGGTTATAACATAAACCTAAAATAAGATGATAACATGTAAATACTGGGTTATTTAGTCTACAGTACAGTAATCTGGATAAAAATGACAAGGGATAGCCTAATTTCCTTTCCCCAAACAACTTTTACTTTCCTACATTGGATCGACCTTCAATGCAAATCTTAACCTCCTGAGGAATAAAAGAAGGCTTGGGAAGAGTCAAAGGTGGCTCCTCTTCTGATTTCTCTAGTTTTCGTGTTTCGGGGGCTGACCACCTCCTCTTCCTCGTTGCCGGGGGCTTGCTGGGTTCTGTTTTGGTGAGCAAAGGTGCTGCAGGCAATCCTATTTTGTCCGGAAACTTCAGTTCACCATTCTCAGCTAACATCTGTGCACTTCCCTGATTAATCCCATTTTCCTGCTCCGCATACCTGTGTCTACTTCCAGCTAGACTGTCATTCTTTGAATGCTTCAGCAAGATACTAGCTGAGTCCACGGGCTGGCCCTTTTTAATAGAGCCGTTCTTCAGGTTCTTGAGCGTAAGCGATATGCAGACATCCCCCACAGAGAGTTTGGAGCATGGCAAATCAAAGAGCTGGCTGGTTCTCTCGGGGCAGCAGGATGACCAGCCTTGTCCAAATACAAAAAAAGGGTATTCTACCAAGACCTCCACGCTGACCTGCAGAGAGAGAGACAACAGAAAGAGAGAGAGGGAGGGAGGAGAGAGCGTGAGATGATGCCTTTTGCCCTGGGGCACGCGTGCAGCACCCAGCCGGCGCTGTGGGTGACAGCAGTGAAGCAGGAATTGCACAGGTGCCGCTCGGTTCCTGCGAAATCTGTGCCTCGAGCACCAGACTTCACGCTCGTCCTTGTCAGGCGGGTGTTAACAGACTGAGCTCAGCACTTCTTAGCGCAAAACCTCAACAGGAATCGATCTTTACCTCCACCCAGCTGCTCAGAGAGGCCTACGAGGCCAAACAGCTTTGGCTTCTGACAAACTCTGCTCCCCGCCGTACCCCTGTGGTACCTCGAGCCTGACACCCAGGCCTAAAGGCACCTGGCAGCCAGAGGACGGCTCCCCGAGGCTGGAAGGGGCTCTGCTGCTTGTTATGACACACGATTTCCTAAATGACCACAGGAACATCACCTCCCCCTGCTGACCTCCACCTGTGTCAGTGCATACTTACCAGCATGAAATGGCTGAGGACGTCGAATTACAGGGGAAGGCCGTGGGTAGGTACAGAGCTGTGCCTGTACCAGCAGCAGGCATGACCCCACCTTCCCTGAGCAGTCCCGTGACCCAGAGCACTTCGTCCCCTTCTCCCACCTACTCCTCCAGAAGCCCCTGATGGTGGGCCTGGAGGACCTGACACCACGAGCACCTCAATACCACTTTTATCTGCACGGTGTCTGTCAGCAGGATCAAACCGTGGATGTGGGCTCGTGACTCACACCCTACAGGCCCGAGCCCTTCTGCCACGGCCCTGTCAGGGCAGGAAATTCTGACTAACACTTTCAAAAACCTGGCACGTGTTTTCAACATGCTGTGTGCAGCTCTGCTGAGATCTGCAACCCTAGGAGGCTGGACTCAACGACCACCACGAGGCTCCCTCTGGAAGCACCTTTCTTTCTGATAAGGATACTGATTCCTTTCCAATGTGTGTCTCACGCCAAGGCATCCTGAGGACTCCTGGTTCGCAGTGGGCAGTACGGCAGCACTTATCCTCTGCAAACAGGGCCCCTGGCAGCTCTCTTTGGACCCCCCCAGCTCCACATCCACTGTAAGCAGGAGGACTGGATTTGGGATGTCCCACAGCCCAGGGACAGAGGCTCCAGGACTGGTAAGCCAAAGATTCCCAAGAGATTGTGACTGCTCTTTCAGCTAGTTAAACCCACGCCATGTCCTAGCAGACAACTGCAGCTCCTGAGACAGCTGAGAAAACCCCAACCTTAAGACACCAATAAATATATGCTACATGGTCAGGCTAATGAATAACACTTTATATATTCTTTTGACACTCCATCTGCCCAGCAAATTAGCCACTCTATGAGAAATTCCAAAAGCAGTAGCTTAGAGGCACAAAACACCCTCCTGCTCCCCCAGAAAATCAATTTGTGCCATATTAAAACTTCTCTGACCGGACCTGCCTGCCAACAACCAACTACGTACACAGCAATACTGGACAGGGACATGGCCCTAGGCATGGTTTATGAACCGTGGAGCACCTGGGGCAAGGTAACTGCAGAAGTCCTGCCACTTCATGCTGCTGGAGGCTCACTCTAAATCCTCCAGCGCCAGGATTTGCAGAAATACTTGCCCCAGGTTTGTGGTCCTATTCCATACATACTCACCTCGGAAAGGGGTCTGACTGGGAGGGGTGGTGGATATGCAGCATCTTTTAGGGACTTAAATGGAAACCACTGTCTACACAGAGCTGTAGGCTTTTCCCTAGGCATGAACCATATGGTGGGCATGGGTTTTTCATCGATAGTGCTGTGGCTTGCCCCTTTCTCTCTTCCTTCCTGCTTACTGTAATTTTTTTTCTTTCTTTTTGTACTTTCCCAACCCCATCAAAAGCTATTTGTGCCTTTGGGAATCACACATACTTGTGTGCTTTATACTCACTGAAACAAAAGTTTCTTGTGGTGTTAACACGCTTCCACAGCATGTCATACTTTTGTTTTACGTGGCATATGAAACACTTGCCTGAACTGTCAGTCACTGAAACTATCAGTCAGATTGCTGGGGGTGATTATGAACAACCCTAATGAAATGCCATTATTGCCATGACCCGGTCACAGTGTTCGTGGACATGGAATCTCAGAATGGTTTGGGTGGGAAGGGACCTCAAAGACCACCCAGTTTCAATCAACTTTTATGGGTAGAGACACCTCCCACCAGACCAGGTTGCCCAAAGCCCCATGCAGCCTGGCCTTGAGCACCTCCAGGGATGGGGCATCCACAGCTCTGGCAGCACTGCTTTAGCTATCTGCTTCTGGATTCAGCTAAATTGGGATTTTAACATAACCACTCTCTACAATCAATAGTAGACAAAGAGCTTCCAAGTGTGAAAGTGCAGTGAGAACACCTCTGTAGCATTTTCTCCTGACCACTGCATTCAAATTAGAAAAGTTGATTTTAAAAGCTCCCTCCCCCAGTATCTTGGCATGATTGTTGTAGGGGACAAAGAAATGTGAAACTTGTTTCTGCGCCTTTCTAACTATTAAGACAATAAAGCCAGAAACCAAAATGCCGGTCCCTTTCAAGCACACTGGGCTCTACTGCAAAGTTACTGTTTTATTTCCATGTTTGAACAATGACTAATGGAAACACCCAAAACTTCTCATTGCAGCCACTGAGTGTCTGTAACTTTCTATAGCCCTTTATCACCTTATTTCTCAGCCAAACTCAGCAGGTGAGGGAGGCAATTCAGGTTGCTCAGGAAATGCATGCTGGAGCTGGAACACCCACAACACATGCTGGAAGAGCTGCTGCAACCAACATGAGGAGCACCAATGTGTATCTGAGCTGTATAGAGACGACAGCTCCTCATTTCCCCACCACTGCAAACAACGCCTGCCCTCACAAGAGTGCATCTCCTCTGAGACATCTACAGGGTTGCAGGCAGCAGCACCTCTGGCCACAGGGACCTGGCATGTGTGGGGTGACACGGGAGTTGTCATGAAGCCTTCAGCATCCCACCAGGGCTGCATTTGGAACAGCTTCGATGCGCTGTCACTGCGAAAAGGGGTGCTTCAAGGTCAGTGGTCTTACAGAACCTCTCCATCTCTAATGTCTACGGTTCTGGTTTTAAAAGAAAAGGGAAGTTATAACCTGTATGCTCGTCTTTCTTTCTAAAGCTGTATTTTAGAAATTATTGGGAGCTGGAACTCAGGGATCAAAGCAAGCATTTCAGAGCACTACTTTTGCATCTCCTGTGGGTTTTGACCTTAACAGAAATGGACGTGAATTGCCAGCTTCCGCTTGTTCCTGGCAGTGAAAGAAAGGACAGGTAATAACGATGTACGTGTTATTACAAGAATAATATGTTGAACTGCAAAGAGATTCAGATCCATAAGGTTTTTTTTTAGGCAACTTGAATTCAGAGGAATAACCGCTGAACTTTGGGTTCTCATCCATTTGATACTCGTTTCACTTCTTACTCATCCCCAGCGGGGATGCCCCGAAATGGAAACCTAGCTTCCCTCAGGGGCTAAGGGCAGTTGTTTCACTGGAAAGGGGTACAGCTTCAGGTGGGCTAATTGTCTCCTGGTTTTACATGCCTGGAAGAGGGCTGGATTTGCGCGGTGACTGGAAGAGGGGGGCAGGTGGGAGGATGACCTCTTTCTGCCTTAGCACTGCGCCGGGGAGGAGCAGCTGTGGGCTTGCAGTTCCGTGGTACAATAGCAGCTGCGTGGTGCCTCCCTACGTGCGAGCTGGATACGCTCAGCTAAAAATAACCTCCTACCTTTGTCCCTCAGCTGGTGTGGAAATCAGCTAGCGCTTGCACAGAGCCTGGAAGCATGAAATCATCAGTGCTGTGATGACCTCCCAGAGATCGCATATTCCCTTGGTGCTTGGGAGTCAGTGTGGAAGTGTAGCGGTACCCCTGAGCCACTGCCCTAAGCTCTGAGACAAAATACCTTGAAGTGGAAGAATAATCCCCCTTCACAGGGGCAATTTCCTAATGAGTAAAGACGGCCCCATGGCTGCTAATAGGGCTAAACGCTTCCATACGGACACGCTGGGCCAAGGGTGAGGTCAGCGGTGACTTCAGCCACGCAGAAATGCTCTCCCTCCCTCTCTCTCTGAGCAGCCCCTGCCATGCAGGCACACAGCTGATCCGGGAAGAGACCCAAGGACTGGGATCCACAGGAAACCTCAATGAAACCCTCGCGCTGATCACATCTCTGTGTGCCTCTCCCTCGGTTCTGGAAGCATCCCCTGTGGGAAGCACAGCTGGGGAGTATTTCGGCTGCGGTGATGTCAGCCCGCTCCTGATAGGCTTCTGCATAAGGTGGCACGGGGCTGGGTGCGAGCGGTGCGCGGGTTTGTGCTTTCTGCCAGAGGATGGCACTCCACCCCTTGCGAAGGCGCTCTGCCCAGCGCACAGCACCTCGGCTGTGCTGGCAGATCCAGCAACAAGACACGATAAAAACACTACCTGCACGTCTGACATGAGCAACGGGACCTGTCGCATGTAGCCGCTGCCAGGTAGGCGCAGGTTGGGAAGGACGGGACACAGACGGCTGTGGCTGTAAGGTTTTTTTGTGTGACTTGCTCCTCTGTGCCGTACCTGCTTGTTTTTCTTCTCCAAACTGCCAGTCTAGGTTTCTTCGCCGGATCTGGACACTTCCAGCTCCTCTCGCCCTCTCTCCTTCTGGTTCTCCACCACGGAGGGTGCTGCCTCGTGGCTGCAAATGCTGCAGCTCGCAGCACTTGTATTTCAAACCTAACTGAGAGCACTTGTGACAACGTTATTGCGAATAATACCTCTAGGAACCAGGCTGCTACCTGGTATATCTGATCTGCTCCTGCCTCAGTAGAGAAGAATCTAAATTGCTCAGAAAATGGGCAGCAATAGGATAATGCTTTATGATCAGTACGGTCTTAACCTAGAAGTATCTTTGGAAAGTTACAGGATTTTTTCCTGCAGTGAGAAACAAAGGTCAGAAGCACGGCCTGACCAGCCGCCTAGATGGTTTTCCTTTCCAAATTTCCCTTGAACAGACAGTTTATGTGAGCTGCACAGTGTTTAAGCCACTCACGACTGAAGCCTCAGTAAAACTCTGTAGTGTTTCAGTAACTTACGTGTGAGTGGAAGCATTCCCAGACAGCTCCAAGCTGTCTCCAAGCCATGGAAATTCACAACCTCGCAGCCTACCTATTGCTCAAGGGTAGGATTTGCGCTGAATCTAGCCCAAGCTTCATGGGGTGGAAGGTCAAAATCACCTACAAGAATGCAAAATATACCCCCTCATACAGCTTAACCCATCTTGTATTTGAATAAAAAAGCATGAAGATGGTGTAATTTCTCTTATGGGTTCTCCAGCTATAAAGCACAGCAGGATTTATTCCAACATGCGAAATCCTAACCAGGCAATGAAGATCTTTGGCTAGGCCCATGGGTGGAAGAAGATCCAGCTGTGTGCCTTGGCTGTGACGATAACGCACTGTGTGACCTTACTGCAGCAAATCCCTTTGCTGCCCGGCGTCTCGGTTTGCCCCCTAGACTCGGGATGTTTCTGTGTGATGCCAGGACTGTTATTTTTCAGTCCTGCCCATCATTCCCAGCGAGTACGTAAATGTTTCCCCTGGACTGATGAAGGCACTGAGCAATTTAATCTGGACATTAGGAAAGAGGGCAGCCTGGTCCCCCACAAAGACCCATTTTACATCCAGGAGGCTACCATTTGCCACCAGTGTGCCCCTGATGGCTCCACCAACACTGCCAGACAGATAATTTTTGGACCCGTGACTGGACCACATTGAGGCGCCCCCCACTGCCTCCCACCAGCGCGCGGCCCCATTACCTGTGCGCGATGCTCCCCGACCGCAAACTGTATCACAGCAATGCCTGGGTTATGGCTGTCTTCGATCCTCTCCACAGTGCTGGAGTCTATTTTCAGGTCATTGCTAATTTCCGCGCTCTGGATGAAGTCTTCCGTTTTCAAGTCCTCTACTTTCTTCAGCTCCCCGTTGGCCAGCTGGATGATCGACCCCTTCATGAAGTAAGGGGGCAGCGTGGGGGGAGCGGCGGCGGGGGAGGCGATGGACTGCACCACGGGGAGGTGGATCTGCGCCTGCACCATGGTGGCCTGGTAGGCGGGCTGGGTGGTGTGGGGCTCGGCGCTGAAAGCCTCGCTCTTGGGGACGGCGGTGGTGACGAATGTGTGAGGCACTGCTGCGAACTGGGGAGACGAGGTGACTATCGCCGGCGCCACGCCCGACGGCTCCACGTCGGCGCTGCCGACGGGTATGAGCAGGGGCTGGGTGCCGGGGATCACCAGGTGCTGGGGCAGCCCCCCCGGGTACCCCAGGGCTTGCTGCTGGCCGCTCAGGTAGCCGATCACCGGCGGCTGGGTCCCGGCGTAGAAGGCCGTCGCCGGCAGCCCGACGGGGAGCTGCTCGGAGGCGCTGTGGGTCGTCTGGATGACGGTGTGGGGGGACAGCGTGGCCACCGCCTTCACCCCCTCGTGGCCCAGGGCCTGCTGCGGGGACAACGCGTAGGAGCGGTGGGCCGGCTTCCCGAGGTGCAAGCTTCCCTTGTCGTTGAGGGCGGAGGGGGAGGTCTCTCGGTTGGTGGCCTGCTGCACCTCCATGTCCGCCGTGGGCGTGCTGCTGTTGGGGACCACCATGACGGAGGCTCGGACCCCTGAGGAATCCCGGGCGCCGTACTCGGCGGGGCTTGAGTGCACCACCACGTGCCTGGTCTCGTAATGGTGAGGAGCTGGTTTATTGCCTGCTTTGACCAGACCCATGTCGGCGGAGGGCGAAATGCCGTACCTCCGGCTCTTCTCTATCTCGCCGTTCAGTACCTCCTTGGCCTGCATCGCCTGCAGCCGGCCGCTCTCGGGCTTTTTGGGGGCGTCCCTCGCCACGAAGTGCGAGGCGTCGCTGTACTGCACCACCACCTGGGAGGAAGGGCCGAGGGTGAGCGTGTGGGGGATCACCGTCTGGTGGGGGTGCAGGGGGACCGGGATGGTTGGAGGAGAGACGTTTCGGACCGCGCTCTGGGGAGAGCTGGAGATGTGGACGTACTGGTTCTGCTGGGCGGGCGGAGGGGACCCGGCGGCGATCAGCCCGGGCGTCCTAACCAGGTGCGGCTCGACTTTGTGCCCCTGCTGGCTCAAGCCGCTCATGCTGGCCAGCAAAGTGGAATAAGCCTCCAGCTGGGAGCGCTGGGATGGAGTGGTTGCGACCGCCGTGGCCGCCGCCACGGCGCCGGTTGCCGAATTGGCGGTCGGGGAGATCAGCTGCGAGGGGATGAACCCGGCGTATGGTCCGCTGTACTGGGGCCCGACGAACTGGAACGTGTGCTGCAGGTGCGTGTACTGCACGGGGGAGACGGGGGTCCCGGACTGGGAGAGCGCGGGCGAGTACACGGTGGGGAGCGTGGTGGGGGCCGGCACGGACCTGGGTGCGCTCGGCGGGGAATAGTCCAGCCCCGCCGACGGCGGCGGTGGCGGCGGCTTGTGCAAACCCTGCTGCAAGCCCACCTCCGCCGACGTCCCCCCGGGCCTGTGCCTGGCCCCCAGGCCGCTCTGGCCGCCGGGCGTGCCGGGGAGCCATGCTAGGTTGTCGGCGCGGTGGTTGTCGTTCGGCAGGACCGGCTTCACCTCCGAAGGCAGGCTGGTGGCGGGGATCTCTCGCTTCTTGGGCGGCAGGCATTCATTGCTCCGCTCTTGGTTGGATTTCATCTTTCGCCGTCCCCCCTCCACTGTGCTTGCTTCACTGTCTGGCTGGCTCTGGTTTCAGTCTGGTAAACGGAAAGTCACATTTGATTTCTGCCAGGGATCCAGTGACTTCATGGGGAATCATCTCCCTGTGAGCACGATCCTCCGACAGCTCCTCTGGACTCTGCAACGAGAGGGTGGGCGAGGGAGGGGGGAAACCACACCATCAGCGCTGGGAAATGGGAACAAACAAGCCGACACCCCCAACCAGCAACCGAGAAAGAGGACAAAAAGGGCTGGAAAAACAAAATCAGCCGGGCATTGCTGCTCTCGTGTCAAGGAGCAGCGGACAGCTGCACCGTAACCAGCAGCTACAATCCTGGGCACGTCCATGAGCACATCATGAAGGTGATTAAAACCGTAGGCAGGTCAGAAACTCTCTGACCATCGGGTGTCAGATTTAGCAGCAAGCTCCTAGGGGCTTGCCCACAATGTCTCGTCAGCTTGCTTTCTTCCCTCCATCAGGAAATCCCTGGTGACTTTGGCCATCCCAAGTCCTGACCTGCCCGAAACCAGGAGCTCCTGCCTTGCCCGGCCTCGTAACAAACTTTATGGAAAGTTTTTTTGCCCACTCGCTGTCCAGCCCCCAGTTTCCCCCCATACTTCTGGCTGGTCTGGAAGGTCAGAGAGCATGGGCGCTTACAAACCCTGCATCTCACACACGACAGGCATCCCTGCAAGAAAAGCGTGTGTTACGTGAAAGAAAAAAGGGGGAAGAAGATGGGAACGGGTTACAAGCCACTTTAAAGTGAATGCTGAGCAGCAGTACCGATAGCTATCTTATGGCAAGTAATATCCCTTTGGGGGATTTCTTTCCCTGTTGCCTCACTCCTAATGAACAATAAGCCCGATGTTTATGTGTGCACGCAGTGCTTTGAAGACATATTAAGCAAAGATTAAACCTGTCTTTAAGAGCATTCCTTACGTTTGTGGTCCTCCAAGCTGCCATAATCCAACTGCAGTCTAAGGCATTTAAATGTCTGATACAATCGGCCTTGAGTGAATTATTCCATTCCCTAAAACCTGATAAGCAGTAACCAAACACCAACAGCCACGCAGACCCTACAAAAACAGTTTGTTTTTCCTCCACCAGCTCCGCAGCTGCCACGCATTAGCACAGGGCTGGTAAGCGGAGAAAAACCAGCACACCCATCAGCTGCAGCTTCGGGCAAAGGCTGCTTAAAGGATCCAACGTTTTAGGGCAGATTCTCTGGCTTTTGGGCCAGGGGGAGGACGGAAGGAAGGCTCCCTGAACTCGGGGGTGCCCTGCGATCCGCAGGGGTCTTCCCCCTCCTCCTCGTCCTGGTCCTCGCAGTTGCTCGCCGTGTCTTGGCAACAGCTAAAATTATTATCTTACACATGACTTACGGGTTTTTATTTTTAAGTCCGACTAAAAATAAAACCGCCGAGCTCACATTTGCGCAGTCATCCTTAGTTAAGTTTAGCTCACTGTAGTCTTCTGCCCTGGGCGGGCGGCTCTGCCAGATAAGAGCCGGCAGCTGCTGCCTGGGGCGCTCGCACCGCTCCCTCACACCATCCACGGGCGCTGCGAGGGGAAAATGGGGATGTGGGACGGAGGCAGAGAGCTGGCCCTACACAGCGAGTGCCCACACATCACACACCGCAGCCAAAAGGGGCTTGTGTGCGGGACCGGGCAGGGCCAGACCCTGCTGGTGCAATGGGCAAAGGGGTCTCACCCAAACCCCCTTGTTCCAAAAGCCCGAGGCATTGGGACACAGCTTCCCCCCTTTAAAATTGCTGCTGTGCTGCCCTGTGCGACCTGGTGAGCTTTCACTTTGTGGGAGCTGAAGCGAAGGTTTTGTTCTGCTAAATAGGATTGAACCGCGGAGTTTTGGGTAGCCTCCAAAGTCAAAGCTAACATTCCTCAAAAATACCACACGCTAAATCTTTTTTTTTTTTTTTTTTTTCTTCCTTTTGTTAATATCTCTTACGGCTCTCTGCATCATCACCGGCAACAAAAGGGCTACCCAACATCTCCCGGAGAGCACAGGAGGAATGAACAAGCTGAACGGAGACGGAGGAGGAGACGGCGGCAGAGCGGTGCAGCCTGCCCCACTTTTCCAAGCCCGAGCACTCCACGGTTAGACCCTGAACTCCAGCAGACATCGGACTGGATTTGCAGAGATGCAAATGTGTGGCAAAAACCAGCCTATTTCTGCTCCCAGACTTAGAAGCAAAATGATAAGTTTTCAGCACAACGCCAGCTCCCGCAGCAGAGATAAGGCAGGGCTGGTTTTGCTCGGGGAGCACTGAAAGGCAGACAAGCTGGAGCATCTCAGGGAAGAGGTACGAGGCGTGGTGAAACCTCTCTCTGCTGGTTGCCCTAGAAAGATGAGCGCCTGCCTTCCGCGCTGCGGGGCAGGCTTTATTATTCGCATGCTTTTTTGCAAGATGCTCCGAACAGCAGCAAGCACTGGGTGATTTTTTTTTGCGCCCGCTTTGTAGGCGCGTCACACAAGGGCATGCGTGCGTGCAGGCGTAATTACGGCGAGGAAGGTAAAGGGGACAAAGAGATCAGGGGCAGCAGCTGGACTTTGGTATCTCTGGCAGCTCGTGCACAGGGAACATTGCTAAAGTGTCTGGACGGCCAGTGTCCACTGGCAGCCTGCCCACACTCAAATTCCTGGAAAGGCTTAAGGCAGAAAAATAATCACTTGGAGGAGTCACCAGCTGGGTTTGCTCTGGTCCCGAAGGGATTGCTCACTGGAGCTCAGGATGTGCGTTTTTCATGCAAAGCTCCGGCGTGCCTCTGCAAGGCACTTCAAAACTCCCCCCGTCTCCCAGAACGCTGCTTTTCTGTTTGTTTCATCTAACAAATGTAAGAAAAACTGGGTCTCCTCTCTGGCAGGTGGCACTGCCCCGTCTGTTGTTATTTATTTATTTTATTTATTTATTTATTTATCCCCTGTGTCTCCCCAAAAAGTTATTAGCTGAGGTCAGTCCCTCCTCTGCTAATCCCGGTGCCCCGCAGAAATCCCCTGCCTCGTGCAGCCAAACCCTGGCTTCAGACACCGTGAGTCAGGCCCCCCTCCTCGCCCCTGCGACGCACGGTCCTGGCTCACACACAGCAGATTTCTTAAAATGATAAAGGTGGAGGGTTTTTTTGCCTTTTCTTTATGTGTTTTTTTTTTTTTTTAAGCTTGCCCTTCTGCTGTGCGAGGCCTTTCGGTCTCGAGGTCTCCGGCTTCTCCCTGCAGCCCACAAGAACAGAAACTTACTTTTTTTAGCTAACCCTGGGATTTCCCACCTAATCATCTGACACCAGGGACGGGATTTTGGAGACACAGCCTCAGCTCTCTCGGGGCTCTCGATGCAACCTGAGCTCCTCCAGCCCCACGTGCCCAGGAAGGAGAGGTGCAGCCCCCCTACGGCCCTCCACGAGGGGCAGATGCGACTCACAGCCTGGCCGCCAGCTGCAGGACCTCAGATTTGGAGGCCCAGCCCGGCTGATAATTGCACAAGAAAAGCCTTTACTCTTACACCAATCCCCCCGAGGCATTTCTGCAGCTGAAATGAGCGAGCGGAGTTCATTTATGAACCGCTATAATACAGAAATTACTTTGTTGGTGTTTTTCATTTATTTGAAATGTGCCCAGCTACAATGGCAGCTGCCTACACGATTTTCCATTGAAAACTTCACGAGCGACTCTGAATGCAGCAACGCCCACTCGCCGCTGGGTTTGACTTGTGACAGAAACCGCCGTGCCTGCACGAACACATTTGGATCACGTCGCACAGGTCTCGCCCCATGCGGCTGGGAGCAACCTCCCTTCCACGTACAAGGCTGAATGGATGAGGAAGAGGCCTGGCTTTGTCTCCAGGAGGGATGACTGTGATCCCCACGAAAAAACGTGGGTCCTGGGGGCATTCCCAGCCCTTTGGAGATGCAGACAGCGACACCAGCACGCACCATGTAACGGGGCAGCATGAGAGCTTGGCTCCCAGGGACAGATCGGGAAGGTCATCCTGCACGGGAGAGCAACTTCAGCATCCCATTCATCTGTTCTTTTTTTCTCCAGTTAACTCATTTTTCTTCTTAATTCAGAGTCAGCTCCACGTGGGCATGCCCTGCAGCATCACCCACGCTGGTCCTGCATGGACCCTGAAGCTGGCAACAGTGAACATCCGAGGGGACAGCGCGCACACAAATCCATGCAGGCAAAACACACAAAAAAAAACCAAACACACAAAAAGGTTGCTGTTCCCGACTTTGTGGCAAGTCTGGGAATGGCACTTTGTGCCACAAAACGACTCCTTCCCGATCCGTGGGCAGAAAGGCAGGCGGATAAAACGGGAAAACGGGCACAGAGAGCCAAATTCATCACCAGTGGCACTCATCTGAGGCCAGCACAGCAAGGGTGAGATGGCCCCGACTGTTCTCTCTGACAAGACGGAGCAGAAAACCATTAAAAGAAAATGAAATAATGCGGGTTTATAGCCACATAGCAGGATACGCAGTCACAGGCTCCAGTTGCAATTAAAAAAACACCATTCCAACTACAAATGCAAATCAGCGTTGCTCTCAAGCAGGGAACGCTGACAAACGAAGGCGGTGTGCTAACATGCAGTGCCAGTACTCTTAATTTAAGTATGTGAGAAACAAAGGTATGCACCAGCCGGGACTGCCAGGAAGAGCTTGCTTTAAACAGCAAACAAAAAAGAACTGGAAGGATTTAAAAATGACTTTTCTTACAAAAAGCAGATACAAGGAAACCTTTTGCTCCCCTTCTCCCAGACAGCTGAAGAAGGGGGGAAAAAAAAAATCACACGACTCCCATAAAGGTTATTTATACAGGAGTTTTGAGCTCAAGAACTAAAAGAATTCCTCCATGGGACGTGTGTGTCCAGTGAATCACAGCCTGGACGGCTGAACGGGCCTCCTGCAGCAGCCACGGAGACGCCTGCTCCCCGCTGCAATCGCTCCTGTGAAAGCACCTTACCCATCTGGAAACCCGAGGTGCAGAGCCAAGTGACTCCCCGACACCAGCGAGATGGACCAAAGGGTGACGAGCTACCTGCGGCTGGGCTCACTCGTTAAGCCGGGTAATTACTGCAGCCCTCCCCTGCGGCTCACAGGGAGCGCAGCACGGAGCTGCGAAGCGT